TCTGCTCCTTCTGTTTGGTCTGCTCCTTCTGTTTGCTCTGCTCCTTCTGTTTGCTCTGCTCCTTCTGTTTGCTCTGTCCATGCTCCTTCATCGGATGGATTGCAGCAGGCATGGTCATAGCATGCGCAATCCTGACTGCACGGATAGCTGCTATATCGTCGAGATTCATATTGTACGAATATTCTTGCATGTGACTTTGTTCGGAATCGTAGTATGTTGTGAATTAGGTGAAATGTGTGAGCTGCGAGTCAGACGAAATAAATGCTCGTGGACCCTTCGTATGTATGACTGTGCTGACTTCGAACCATGGTTGAAAAGAAAGGGTGTAAGGAGAACGACCAACCGAGAACGACGCAATTCGTAACCAGACTCGCTCGGTGTACCTGCGAAAGCGGAACTCCACCTGTTGGAGAAGAGTGTACCCGCTGCTGTTCACAAACCCCATCTAACCAAACGCTGCGCAATTCTAATGCTTCGAGGCTCGGCTATGCAGCCGCCATCTGCTCCATCCTTCATGCAATCCTCTTCTTCTCACTCGCCCTTGTCTCCTTCATCTCCTCCAGCATCACGCGATTGAACTGCTCCCACCCATCCAGATAAACATGATGCCCCGCCTTATTGATAATAACCACCTTCGCCTTCGCCTGATCCCTCTCCCTCTCTTCTCGACTCTTCCCTTTCAACACTCTCTCTCGCTCCTCTTTGATCTTCTGCTCCGCGGCATACCCGCCGGCGACGTCCATCCAGTCGTTCTCGCCGTACATGAAGATGATTGGAAATCCCGATTCTCTTGTTCTCTGCGCGGATGGGGGTTGGGCTTGTGATGCTGGTGAGGAAGAGGGGGATTGTGGAGGCGTGTCGCCGTCAACGCTGGGCGTGGCGTGTGGACCGATCCACTGGCGCCCAACGCCCTGAATACGGCGGATCAAAGGCGAGCGTGCAAACGCGCCGGGCGCGAGGAGGTACCCAAGCGCATACTCGCTGCTCCCTCTTTGGCGGAAGAGCGCATAACTGTAGTCGTGCAGCGCTTGTGCCTCGTCTTCCGGCAGGTGTGAGAATCGCCGACTCGTCCAGCCCGACACGAGACGCGGACCCAGCGGACCGCTCCAGCGCACCAACGAGAACGGGGAGAGCATGTTGGCTTCCCACAGGTATGTGAGCCAGCCTGGCATGCGGCGGCGCGGGGGCTGGTTGGGTTTTTCGGCGTTCTTCTTCGCTTGGTTGAGGAAGTTGTTGTTGTCTGCTGTGGAGGGCTGGACGCCGTTGCGAGTGCTCGAGGCGTCTTGGGTGAACTCGTTGACCATTCTGGAATCATTCGGATCGGGCATCTCCTCGTTCACTGCGTACGGGTCCTCGGGTATTCCGACGGGACTCGCGAGGATCAGCTTGTTCAGGTGGCCTGGGTATTTGAGCGCGTAGGCGACAGCGAGGTAGCCGCCTAGACTGTGGCCGAGCAGGGTGAAGCGCTCGAGGCCGCGCTTGATGCGCCACTCTTCGAGGGCGTCAATGAAGAAGGATTCTGCTTCTGCGATCTTGCCGTCTTTGTCTTTGGCGTGGATCTTGAAGGTTGAGCGGCTGCTGCGGCCCATACCAAGCAGGTCCAAAGCGTACACTTTCCAGCCTTCAGCCCGCGAGAGGGCCTCGAAGTTGCGGTAGAAGAAGCCCAGCCCTGCGCCGTAGCCGTGCAGCATGACGAGATTCTCCTCGACGTCCTCGCCAAGTCGCTCAACGCTGAACTCGTTCAGGGCGCGCCCCTTGCCGCTCAGCTCGACCATCTGTGAGTTCCATCGCCGCGGGCCGTACGGGTCAGTAAGTGTGTCGGTCGTGGTGTGGTCCTCGGGCTTCTTGGGCGGCGCCGCTGCGAGGTCTGCTGACGAGGGAAACGTCGAGGCTGGCGCTGAGCCGGTCTGTGTATGTGTAGGCGGGCTCTGCAGGTAGGGAATGAAGGAGAGGACGCGGTGCTCGGTCGCCATGGGGGAGAGGCCAGCCCACTGCGCACACGTTAGCAGCGCTCAATGTACTCGCGGGACATTGCGACTCACCCATTGCGAGAACCCCTCCGACGCGCTCAGCGGGAACCACTTCGCGATCCTACCCGGAACCTGGCCATCAGGTCTCTGCGACGCCAGCGGGCTCTGCTGTGTCTTCGTCCTAATCTCCCCGCTCGCACCATCGTCCTGCGCAGCCATAGTACTGTTGCTCTTCTCTCCAATCTTGATCGGCGTCGAAAGACTCAGGCTGATACAACTCGCGCCTCCAAATCCGACTGTCTTTTGTAATGCGCCTCGGGCGGCGGGTCGTGATCGCAGATAAAGCCTCAGCATACGAAGCCGGGCGGAAAACGGGTGTGAGTAGGAAATGGTGGCGGGAATATCCAGCAAACACCTCAGGACGCGTCCCCAAGGCGCTGCTGCGACACTTTTGTACGTGCTGACGTAGTGATTGCGGACGAGCGAGCGGCAAATCACTCTGTTGCGGCACCGGCCTTAGGCTTTAAGAGATCGGACAAGTTTTCTCGCCGCTTCGCTGTTGTTCTCGATATGGTTGCCTAATTTTTGCTGAACACTTGTCTTGAAGATGTGCCCGCGGGTCCCGGTGGTTGAAGAGTAAACATAGAAGCTGTACTGTATTGAGGGGTATGGGTCGTATCAAAGGTACTTGAGACGCCGACGCATTGAGGGCACCTGTTCTACTAAGCCGCATCGGCGCCATACTTTCCCTCAATTTCCCTCAACATCGTTCATGTGACATCAATTGGTTCCTCAGCGGTTGTTTAGCAACGCGAGTCGGATGCAAAGTCCCACATTGCTAGGGAACTGCAGGTGCGGTGAGAGTACTGGTAGCGCCTCAGATCGCGGCGTTTTTGGTGTGGTGGAATCAGCGCTGCTGATTGGACAGAGCGGTGAGTGAGCGGACTGCCGAATTTGGGACGGCAGTCTTCTTGGAGAGGTGCTGCAAGTATTACCAATGAGTAAGGAGAGGAATTTGTAGTTGATGTATCGAATCATTCGGCGTGTTCCTTGCAGTATGCTTGTATACTTCATCGAACATATGTGATATCTACTCAACAGAGAAGCCGTCCACAATCGTTGGAGTGTAAAGAATCGCTCGACTGGCGTTAAACAATGGCTGCATAGCAGTAGAGCAGGGGAGCCAATGGCCGGTATCTCATAGACTGCGCATCAGGTACGTTTTGGAGTTCAAGACTTCAGCCTTTCAGTCGCGCGAAAAGACGACACCACTGGTAGTAAGTACACAAATGTGTAAGGCAAAGCAACCGATTATAGTCGTTACTCATGGACTCATTGCATGTGTACATCAAAGCTAATGCGCCGCATCGATTTCTGGGACTGCATCGAGCAGCGTCTGCGCCATATTTGGATCTGCGCCACATGAAACCCCAGACGCTGCACGCCTCCACAGAAGTCGCACACGTGGCGATCATACATGTCCAAGCCTCCAATTCTCATGTGCTAATTTCGCCGCTCTCTAATCAACACCCAAATCGTCCAAGTCGCAGATAGTGGCGACGATGCTCAATATCTTCATTGCCGCAAACGGCAACCTGAAGATTTGGATCTGGGTGCCAGAAGCGTGCTCGAAGCGAGACTGGGGCAGGGGTCGAATCCCAATGCAGCGGAGGCGAGATCTTCAGGGACGCATTCCTGTCCACTGCGGGGTGCCAAATGCACCCATGCTCCCGGAGGCGGCCAACTTCAACACCAACACTATTATCGTGGACAAAGAAGTTTGCTCTTGGCGATCCTGCCGGAGTCGGCAAGTTTGTATGTCAATTTGCTAGGTGCAGATGTTTTGGCTCAGGTGTGTGCTGTGCTGCGTGCAGATGATCGAATTTGTCGATGTCTCCAGGAAGCTGTCTGCATCCTCGAGGTGAAGTGATGTGCAGGATTCTTGTTGGTTCTGTGTTGGAGTTCTTTCTGCCTGCACAAACGATGGTGGAAGCGAGGTGTGTACAGTTCCCCTCGGTGTTCTCGGCATACGCTGTGCACGTTAAACGGCGTCGATGAGGCAAGTTGCAGCTGTAGGAGGCCAGCACGTCCAGGAGGCGTCAAATTGTCATAAAGGAGATGGATCATACGAGCACTTCAGTGCCGTAAGGACCCTCAAGGCTGTGCTCACACCATTTGCTTCGGCTCCTGGACGACAGGAATGGTGCTGTTGCTGCTCCACTGGCTCTGCATGCTCTCCCTGGGGTGGTGCTTCTTCAGTGTTTCCCTGTCTCTTGGTCGTTCGGTGGACGATCCGCTCTCAGACCTCCAGGCGGAGACTGGCCTCTGGGGAAGAGTGTAGTTGGTCTTCTCGTTCAAGGTCGCTTCGTTGGACATAGGGCTCTCGAGCACCTCAGGCTCTGTAGCAGCTCTCTTGCGGCGCATGCAGCAGCAGTTGCGCCCGTTGCCGTAGAAGAACAGAAGCCATACGCAGACCCAGATAAGTGCGATGACAGGAATTACTCCGACAACGATGAGTACGGCGATGGCAGTTCCAGAAATGCCTCCAGAAGATGAGCCCTCCAGGAAGCGAGGTGCAAGATGGGCGATAGGAGGCATGGTTGATGTAGAAGTTAGATTGTGTTGATTGCAAACGGAGTAGCGACGGCGATATGATATTGAATATCCGGCGGCTGCAACGGTCTTGAAGTGGATATAGTAGTGACAGGTGAAACACAAGCGACTGAAGGATTCGTTGAAAGCGGGTCTTGGAATAGCAAATCCGAGAACAAAGGCGGTCTGTGAATTTCACGAGAGCATGGATGCGGACCGTAAGTGAAGCGCGCAGTGGGCTTTGTATCCGGTGCGTCCGCTTTGGGACGTCATGAGAGGGTCAAAAGCAAGTGACGCACAAGTCCACCGAGACATCTTGGAAGCCGCCAGCGCTTGGGAGTAGCGGGCTTTGTAAGACCCTTGGACCCGCACCTATCGCATTAATCATGCGTTGCTTTTGCAGACATTGCGTCGTTGCCGCTGTGCTGCAAATCGTGAGCCTGAGGCTGTATGTGTTACAAAATGTTGGCACAGCCTCTCTAAAGGACACAAATAGTTGAGGCTGCTCACCGTGCGTTCTTCGACGCTGGTTCTCACATGCGCGGAAGAGTCGGTCTGGTGAGCGCAGAATTACGCAAATAGACTCAGATCCAAGACCCTACAAGCGCGTGGTCGAAGCCGTCAACCCGAAAGTCTGGAGAATTGCAAGGGCGATTGGACTCCATGTCATCATCTGGTTGTGGTCTAGAAGAATGAAGTTAGCCCAGAGCGGTTAGTTGCCGTGCCGGCGTGCCGCAGGTGAAGTCATTTTGCTCGTGCGCTTTGAACCCTTCTGGAGGCGGTGTCGATGCCTTTCAAGAACACCAGCATCCTATGTGTGCGAATGCGAGAAGGTGTGCCTTCAACGCGTTCTGGAGCATCGTGAAAGGAGACAGCTAACGACGCTGAAGCTCTCGGCGAAGTTACTTCAGTTGTCTGGAGATAATCGCCAGAGACATCGATGATCTCCATAAGCGATCTCGAAGAGCCCAAGCGCGCCACGAGCACGCAGCACCTCGATTTTCCTTGTAGCGGGGGGTTGCTTACCTCCATGCTTGGCTATGAGCTTCTCGATGCGCGCAACAGCGGTTTCCCAGATTTCCTGTCTGCCAGCCTCGCCCAGATCGACCGCTTCGTACTTCGGCGTTGGCGCACTCCAGGCATCGTCATCCGCACTTGGTTCAGTCGCAGCTTTGAGTGTTGACTTGAACAGCTCTTCGGTCTGGTTCCATGGCATCGTACCGTCGTCTTCAGCATGTACGAAGACTAGTCGCATGTTGGAGTATTTGCCTGTCGTTCACGTCGTTAGTTGCGATCCGTCATTCGATAGTCATTTGATGCGCAACAGCGTGTTTGACCGTATTCGCAGCTTCCAACGGCTCTCCACCAACTTACGAGTAAGTGCAGCTAAGCGAACGTCAGTCCGCCATGTGTCCTGCATCTTGCGACTGAACCAGTTTTGGACAGCTGGGATCATCTTGACAGGAGCGAGCACCGGTATGACGCCACCAATGGAATAAGAGGCAAACGCACTGCCTGCGTTCGTGAAGGCAGCACACAAGATGATGCCTGCAAATTGGACACCCATTTCAGCATACTGCACTGCCACAGCCGTTGCAACTGCTGTCCCTAATGAATGGCCAAGAAGAACGATGCGATTTGGTGGAATCTTTGCGACGTTCAACGCCCAGTCGACGACAGCTTCTGCATCGTTCCTGAGACCAGCTTCTGAGGGCACTCCACTAGACTTTCCAAAGCCACGATAGTCGAACGCCAGTACGAAGACCTTCTCGCACGCACCAGAGGCGTAGGATCTGTACTCTTCAGTACGTCTCTGCTGCCCAAGCGTTGCCGCATTGCCGTGAAAGTAGATCAGCAGCCGCGCTTCCGGGTCGTCTCGCAATAACCGGAACGTAAGTTTCTCGGTGACATCTTGGATACCAGACTGCCCTTGTATGAAGTCTTTCAGATGTCTTGCATATACACCCAGTGGTGCAACGAGCCACGTGAAGAGTCTGTGACCATCTTTGGTTGCGATGCGGAAAGGCGCGACCTGGTTCTCTGCAGCATTTAGCCTGATGATCCGTCGTTAATGCCTTTGAACGCACTCAGAAACCCTGCTCTTTCAGGCTCCTCGAGCCATTTGCCAGGAAACATTGTGACCCAATGCAGGTACAGCATCTCTGGGTCTCTTTTAGCTGTTGCACGTGACGGGCACCTGCAGGTGCAGCTGCTCCGCTCACTCACGCTTCTGTACCCATGGCAAGCAACACAAAAGGGTGGCAGGCAGCCATATACAGCTGATGAATGAAATTGTAACGGCAATGCCGCCGCCGATACCCATGTCGATGGTTGTAGTGTTGCAGCGAAAGAAAGCGAAGTTAGAGGCGATTGCTCCTTGGGCAAGGCTGCCGGTGTGCTTGGCTCCCGGTCGCCGAAGCTCTTTCCGCCGCCTATCTTTCTTCGTCATCACTTCGCACGATGCACAATCCTGCAGCACCCCTCTCACTCTGTACCTGCTCGACGGTCAACAAACATGCATGAAAACGGCAACATAGCTTAAAGTGATGTCAAGCAGCATCTTGAACGACCGCTAAATCTTGACAGAGAGGTTCGACAAGACGAAGATATGCACGACTACACATGTCTCTAGGACTCAAAAATCTTCGACAGTGAGTTGCTTGTCCTCAAAGTCTCCGAACTTGTCAACTTGGACCTTATTGTACGCCAATAGGCTTGCCGTGTAAGCCAAAACGGGTACTTGTACGAGAAAGCGGAGCTGACTGGGCGCCTTCCCGCAACAACAGCTCCTCGGCAAGTGCAAGTGACACCAAAGTATACTTGGAAGTAAGCGAGATTGCTGCCTGTTTCTGCATCTATTACCCACATGAGATCAGTTTTGAACATCTGTCATCAACAACATTTTCGTCGAAAACCTTCCATTGCGGCTTTGTCCAGTACCAAATTCGGCTTCAATTCCCACCGATTCACGATCGCGCAGCTAAATCAATTCGCCTGTACAAATGCAACTGCTCGACCTGCCAAAAGATGGGTTTCTTCCACTGCCGACCCATCTCGCCTGAGGAAGACTTCATTCTCATCTCGCCCACCAACCTGGGGGAGCTGGGTGACTACCGCGCGTTTTCTAAGACGAATGGCTGGTACTTCTGCAAGAAGTGCGGCGTCCGTGTCTTCGGAGTAGCTGGGAAGTGGGAGCAGACGGACATTGATGTCGAACAGTGGGCGGGTTCAAAAGACACTGGAGAGGGAAAACAGCAACCGGTTTTGAAGACAAAGAGCACCACTAGAACGAGGAACGTGAACGGAGAAGAGATTACGGAAACGTATCATTACGTCAGCGTGAACGCGGTGACGCTTGAGCCTAGCGAGGACATTGATCTGAGGATGTGGTATGAGAAAGGATGGGTTTTGTACATGGATTGTAGGGATCGCAAAGGTCAGCCTCGTCCAGCGAAGCCGTATGAAGGGGGCATGTACTGAGAAAGATGTATGACATGAACGAAGATAACTTTGCGTAGTAGGGTCACAGAGTGCTAACCACTCGACAGAGTACGATTACCGCATATCACACGTTACAGATCAGCAGTCTCACAAGGTTGCAGTCGAATCAAATCGCATCATTCTCAATCAAAGGATTTATTTGTCTCTACGCTAAAGTGTTGCTTGAACCGCGACTGAGCGATTTGCCGAGGCGCAGGCATCCGTTGCTTGTCCGCTTCCTCCTTCTTTGCTTCCCGCTCCACAATCAGGTCATTGACCTTGCCCAGAGCCCGATGTTGGACAGACTCTCGGTTCGTTGAATCCGAGGCTCTATTGCACTGGGGGGCAAAGGCCTGTTCTTGTGCCTCCTGCAATGAGCGCTTGGCTTCTGCTTCGCGCGGCGCAATCACATCGCGAAGGTGTGCGCTACATGTCTTCGGATTGACCAAGGTTACATCCGGATCTTTGTACACAAGAGCGATTGCCTCAACTGCAGCAGTAAGATGAGTTGGCGCCGGTTCCTGCAATTTAGCATCAGCCTGGAAATACTCTTTGGCCTCCTCTTTCTCATAGTCAGAAGCTTTTTCATTATCTCCAGTATCCTCAGACCACAAGCTATCCGCACGCCCCTCCAAACACACCAAGCTCTGAACACGGTCCTTATACATCTTGACCTGCAAATCCATACCGCCTCTCTCTAGATCCCAAGCGCGCATGCGCTCTTGGACCATAGATGGCATGATGGGTTTCAAGTCGCCGCACTTCCACTTCTTCAGCTCGTCTTCGTAGCGAGGACAGTTGGGACATTTGCTGCAGAAGTGGAGAAAGATAAAGTAGGAAAGTGCGACGAGCAGGATGAGGCTGAAGATAATAACAGCCAAGAGGGTCACAACTGCCACCGTGGAGGTCGCATCTTTGCCATTTGCTCGGGCAGAGTCAAAGTTCGTTGGTAGGGGTGGGATGGCGGCTGATGTTAGGAGTGAGGCCGGAGAGTCCGTTGCCGTCACCGTCGCGGTTGCGGTCATCGTAGCGGTGACCGCTAGTGAATCCAGAGTTGTGGCGATGCGGGGGGAAGGTAGAATGTCAGTGCGGAAGAGCCGAACGGTGACGATTGATGGTTCGATCAAGGTTTGGACAACGCGAGACGTCATGTTTTGTTCTTGCCAAAAGAATCGAAACGTGAACTCGAGTTGTTCAGACCCAAGCTTTGGTTTCGACTGCAGACAAGATGGAAAGTTCGGTGACTTGACAATATACTTGAAGAGCATGCGGTGAAAGTTCTGATGTACGCATTGTAGGAAATCTCGCCGTGCTTGTGTGTATTCAATCGGAGTCCACAATGGTGCCAGACATTGCCATTCCTACAGTGCAAGATTGCTCATGGGCAACGATGGTTGCCGCCGACCCTATCCGAGTTTGCAGCTTGCTCACCACCTTTCACCCACAATGCCCGAGATTCGGTTCGAACCTAGTGCACTCTAGGGTTCCCAGTCTTGCGATGAATACTTCCTGATCTAACCTTGTATCAACCTATACCACTCCGCTGAGCACCCCAACCGCACAAACCCACCACAATGCCACCAAACTTATCAGTACCCCCAACCCCAGCACTGCTCACTGACCAATTCGGTCTATTTGCGTTAAAATGAACAGCCTACATCCATCCCAATAACACAGCGTCTGATACGCACAAGAACCACGAGTTAATTACTGGTGTCTTCCTAGGTATTATCGCCTTCCCCTTTCTTGCGTACGCTGCCTGGAAGGCGATATATATGGTATACTGCTGCATTGCATGGTGAAATCGTTTAAGCGTCATACGACTGTTGGTATCGCTTAGCTCACCCATTGATGTCCTTTATAAATCGCAGACGGCTCGATGTGTCCTCTTCATAGCTGTTATTCTCGCCCCACTCGGCCAGTAGAAGGAACCCAAGCCTGTTAGAGTCCAGCGGTGTTGGGTCGCGGCTGGCTTCAGCTGCACCTCCACTTGTCGTTCGGCTCGTGGCAGTCTTCTGCGAGACGCATGGGCTTCCCAGCACTACCCTGTCGCATTCGTTTATCACTTGTGCATCTTCAAAGGTATCCCATCGCTGGGTCAAGCCAAACGGAGTGTCTGGTTTGCGGGAGGAGGGCCTAAGGGACTTACTCGTGCCGGTCAGATATCTGCGTTTCTTGGTCTCTTTGTTGGTAGGTTTCACATATCATCAGAAAACTAGACTACTGCTAGATTGAACTATTCTGTTGCTGCGCGCTTCTATGGACAGATATCGCGCGCTTCTCCAAAGTCAAAATTGACTGTACCTCCTCTAACGTGGGTTTCTGGTACCACATAACGACCTGATAGGGGCCCCTGAAACACAAGTCCACTGTATGAATTTGTAGCTTGGCCTTGGTTCTGTGACGTCTGGCTTAGAGGAAGAGTGGAACGCTCTTCGCTTGAAGATCCGTTGATCTCTTTCTGGAGCCGAGCAAACGCCTTCCTCCGACCTTCTCCACATATGAGCGGCATGTGCACGTCAAAGATACCCAGTAGTGAGTATGCTGCGTCTTCTTCGCGTTTTGTCTGGCATTGCCCCACCCACGACAAGCGCTCAGCAACGCTCAGCCAATCTAGCGGGCATCCTTGGAGAGCCTCAACACTGATCTCGGTGATGCTATGGAGCTCTTGCAACAGCGAGTATTTGTTACCAAGTCGCCGGCCTTCAACCGAAAAGAACTTGACTGATACCGGGGTCACTAGTTCTTGGAGCGTCCAGCCTCGTGTGAACCATCTACTTTGCTGAAACGCAAGCTTCCAGTATTCTTGGGCAGGCGTGCCGCTGGTGAGGCTGCCGGTCGAAACGTCGGATAGATACACGTAGCATCGAGCAGCGTAGCGGTACCAAGCAAACATGGAACCCGTCGCATCCGGAGTGCCGAAGGGTTTCCTTAAACGCACAGATGAGTGGTCCTATCGCATGCCCTTCGCCATCCAATGGATCCGGTCAGTACTTATCTTCATTGGTGTCTACCTCGCCCCAGAATGTCCTTGGTAGCTTATGAGACAGGGTCGCGATCAAGAAGCTGTGAAAGTTCTGGAGTGAATTACAGGAACCTCGGACCTATCGTTCGATTCCAAGGAGACAGTAGCCATGATGGTACACACCAACGAGCTTGAGAGGGAAATGCAGGCCGGAACCTCATATCTCGATTGCTTCAAAGGCGTTAATCTGTGTCGTAAAGAAGTCGTATGCTTGACCTGGGCGGCACAAAATCTCTGTGGAGCAGGCTTGATGGGTACTCGACATATTTCTACCAGCAAGCCGGCCTCCCGGAAACAAGCTTCCCGTATCATTAAGACGCAAGTGTATGACTACTGCGAGAAGCAAAGACCAAATGCGGTCGAGAAAGACTGCGACAAGTGTCTCGAAGCTGGTATTGTCTGCACGTACGATGTAGTTCCTCTTCGCAAGAGACGCAGTGGAAGGTTCTATTCACGCTTTGGGTTACATCCGCCGAAAGAGCCAACACTTTAACCACACAGACTGAAGAACAGATCAGCTCTACTCCCGGCGTACAGCCATACTTTACCAGTTCTCTCGGCCTGTTCAACCAGGCACTTCTTGCGACCATCGGGGCAGAACAATCGCGTCACCTTAGGAAGATATGGGTTACGACATATCCGATCACTGTTCCATCGATACACGCTACGGTACCATGCATGATATTGACAATCTGCTCGCTGGCTTGCGTCAAGGGAATATGAAGCTTGTCATGGATCTTGTGGTGAACCACACGTATGATCAGATAAAGGCAACCCTTTGGTTTTCATTTCAGGACATGCTCACATTGACGCCTCTAGCGTGCCTGGTTCAAAGAATCCAGGTCGTCGCTAGACAACGACAAACGCGACTGGTATATCTGGCGGAAGCCACGGTATGACGTTACAGGGTCCAGGCAACCGCCAAACAATTGGGCTTCCATATTTGGAGGTATGCATAGAAATTTGGCCATGGACGTGTCATCATACTGACGTTGTCTCTGAGCAGGTATCGCGGGGTCTTCCGACGAAGGCACAGGTGAATAATACTTCCATATTTTCTGCCCAGAGCAGCCGGTCCTCAAATAGGAGAACCCCGCAGTTGTTCAAGAAGTCGAGAAAGTCATGAGGTTCTGGCTCGGCAAAGGGGTCGTTGGCTTCCGAATGAATGTGATCAATCTGATCAGCACAGTCCTTGGGCTTCCAGATGCTCCTGTCACAGTCCAAGGACAGCGGTGTCAGCCAGCGTATATGCACTATGCTTGCGGCCCATGGCTTAACGAATACCTCCGCCGCTTGCGAACGATACTTGACGAGTACAATGCGTTCGCGATCGGTGAAATGCCTTGGGCGAAGAACGAAGAGCAAGTTCTGAATGCTGTCCAGGCGGAGAGGAAAGAACTGAACATGATATTTCAGTTCGATATGTAAGCTTCATACAAGCCCAACAATTGTTCTTCGCTAATGAGCGGTGTTCATTGTTGATATGGACATTAGCCCAAGTGGTCAATTCGATCGACAGGATTGGGGTCTTACAGCTCTCAAGAATATCGTGAAGAAGTGGCAGACCACCATGTTCCAGAACAGCAGATAGATGATCTATTCTTGGAAAACCACGATCAGGCCCGCTTGGTATCCCGCTTCGCTTCAAACGAGCCGCAACATAGAGCTTACCCCGCGAAAATGCTGGCGACGTTCGTTGCGCTACAGTCTGGCACTCTCTTCACATACCAAGGCCAAGAACTCGGGTTTGCGAATGTACCAAAGGAGTGGTGTATTGAAGAATACAGAGACATCGAGACTCAAAATATGTGAAAAGCCGCGATCGAGGAGTTGCGAACAGATGAGGAGAAGAAGCTCGAGTTCATAAGCCAGATATAACTCAAGGCTCGCCACAATGCCCATACACCCGTACAATGAGCCTCCGACACGCATGCGGGTTTCTCAACAACTACACCATGGAAGCGAGTGAACGAAGACTACCCAATCTCGAACGCACAAGCGCAGACTACAAATTCGGAAAGCATCTTCAGTTATTGGCGGGGTCTTTTGAAGTTAAGGAAACTGAAGCCCCATGTATTCGTGTATGGGAACTTTGAGTCCCTTGGCCGCAGCTATCCGGACGTCTTCTGCTATCGACGAGCCCGTGGCCAGACACGGGCAGTTGTCGTGCTCAACTTTTCTGAAAAACATATGGAATGGATTATACCCGAGCCGCTGGTATCTCTATGGACACGCCAAGCGCCGTTGGTGCATAGCTATATGGATGTGACCCGAGCGACTCACGGTAGACTAAGTCTACGTCCCTTCAAAGCCCTCGTTTGGCTTGGAGAGAAGCTCAAGACGCACTTGTAGCGATAAAGGACCAGGACTCGTGTGAATGAGGAATTTGGCAGCGAGCTAAGCATCGAACATAGCTTTAATTGCTTCTGGAAATGCAACAACGCTCACAGTCTGCTGAAGACGTTCAGGGTGCTACAATAGCCCAGAGATGTACGAAGAACTGGGATTGAGTTGGTAGTAAAAATCCTTGCGCTGCTCCAGCCGTGATAGATGGGTTGTCCAACGCTAAATTTCTCAACCTGCACCAGACTGAGCATTCGTTAGGTACTTCGTGTCCTGGAAGATTGGGGTCATTGCTTCGCAAGTCGTGTTGGAATCGAAAGTGGGGTGGTCTAACGCGAAATATCCATACCACGTCATACCTTGAGCATCACCACGATTTTCATCGAGGACGTGAAATCGTTTGTCTGCACAAAATCAGATCCTCACCTTTGATCTCTCACCTCAACAATGGTATCTTCATCCAACGGCAACGATGGTCCCTTCCCATGGCACCTTGGTGTTTATGATGCCCACTGTCACCCAACAGACATCATGTCCAACGTCTCCAAGATCCAAAACATGAAAGCGCGCTGCCTCACCGTCATGGCAACGCGAGGCGAAGATCAAGACCTTGTTATCAAAACAGCAGCCCAGTACGGCATCAAATCCGGGAGCCCAGACGATTGGCCAAGGGAGGAGTGTATAGTTCCGTGCTTTGGGTGGCATCCGTGGTTCTCGCATCAGATGTACATCTCAGACGACGACGTACCAAAGGACGGCGAGCCGCAAACTCTCACCGGTAATGCGAAGGTAAAGCACTACCAGAAAGTCCTGCAACCCTCAAGAACAGAGCCAAGCGAGGAGGATCTCCGCATCTTCAACGCTCTGCCGGACCCAACACCTTTTTCAGTCTTCTTGTCCCAGACACGGAAACATCTCGAAGAACATCCCTATGCGCTGCTTGGAGAAGTCGGTCTAGATCGCAGTTTCCGCATCCCAGAAGCCTGGGTGCCTGATCTTTGGGCCACACGCAACTCCACCCTGACGCCTGGAGGGAGAGAAGGAAGGCGCTTGACGCCGTTCCGATGTCAACCTGCACACCAGAAGGAGATCTTGAAGAGGCAGTTGCAGCTAGCAGCAGAGCTGGGGCGAGCGGTTAGTGTGCACGGTGTACAAGCGCATGGATTGGTGTACGAGTCACTGCACGAACTATGGAAAGGCTACGAGAACGAAGTGCTTAGTAAGCGCGAGAAGAAGAAGCGCGGCAAAGACGACCCGAGTGTCGAAGCTGAGTACGACAAATCTGCAAAGGAAGGAAGTAGTGGGCCAAAACCATATCCACCAAGAATCTGTCTACACTCGTATTCCGGAAGTGCGAGCAATTTCAAGCAGTACCTCAATCCTGCGATTCCGATTTACGTTTTTGCGAGCTTCAGTACGGCGATTAATTTGGGGGATGCGCTGGACGAAGAGACGCCGGCAGAGTTTGAGGAGATGATCAATACGGTGCCGGATGAGATGCTCCTTGTTGAGAGTGATTTGCATACTGCGGGTGACGAGATGGATCGGAGGTTGGAGGATATCGTCAGGAGGATATGTAAGATCAAGCAGTGGGGCTTGGAAGAAGGGGTTGAGAGGTTAGGAAAGAACTGGAAAGCTTTCGTCTTCGGCGATCCATAACAGTGGCAATCGCACAGTATGTATGTCTATGAAGACGTATTTACGAGTTCAGATAATCCTTCAAAGGCGCAATAACCCACTGATCTCTCGCACTTCTCAAGTCATCCGCATACAAGTACAGCAACCCTCCAGCAATTAGCACAACACCCGGCAGCACAACCATCAACACCAAATACCTCACCATACTGAACCAAGTCTGCTCCAGCCCCGCCCGCATCGCCATATCCTCCTTGAATCTCGGATACTCGACATCTTTCGGCCTCTCCACTCCCAAAAACCCACACAACTCCCCCCACCCACTTCCCCCATCCACATCAATCTCCAACAACCTCTCGCTCCCCACGCTCTCCCTAACCCTCTCATTGTGAGCTTCATATGCGCGCCTTGTTTCGTACCCGCCGTACTGATTCCCATTATGCATGCCGAATAATGAGTGTAGGAGACGAATCAGCGGCGCCATGCGACTGACACCCAGGATCCTGCAGATCTCGAATAACCGCCATGTAAAGAGCACCCAGATACTTTCCTGCATGCTCTTCTCCCAGTCTTCATACCTCCTCGTCGTCAAGATCACTTTGGCGTCGGGATACGCTTCAATCAACTGCTGCGCAAACATGCATCCCGGCAGGTCCGCAACAGAGTCGTAGTCGGAGAGAATGTCGTTGATAGTCAAGGGTAGGCCAGAGGCGTATTGCGTGCTATTGACGGCTTCTTGCCACACGGGGATATTGCTGGGGTTTTCCATGAGGGAGCGCATAGTGTATGGGTTGTAGCCAAGCTGACGGAGAGCGCTGATCAATGAAGTAGTGCTGGTGCGTGGAAGGCCGAGGACTAGGACGCGCAGGGGGACTTTGCGGCCGGGTCCGGTCTTGGGGGTGGGCTCTTCTTCGGCCATTGTGTTGGAAGGCTTTGTTGATGGTTTTGGTAGATTTGGATGAGATGAAGATGCGGCTCAGTTGCGCTGCTTATAGTTCATGTGCATTAGGCTAATGTGTCGGAAGTCGGGGACGAAAATGGAAGACCGAGAGATGTTGGCAGTAGACTCGGCGGGGCTCGAGAAACAGCTTTTTCGAAGTAGAGTTGTGTGAACGTTCTTCGAATTACCGGCTGAGAAGGAACCAAGGGATATATGTCTGGAGTCGTGGGTGTAGAGACCACCTAGCCTCGACCGGGTAAATGCATGCAGATCGTCCAAAGCCGTTAGTTCAGGCCGGCCAAGCAGGCACATGTGAGAGCACCAGTCTCCATTGAGAATTTATAGTGACTTGATGTTGGTAGTGTGTTTGGATTCAAAAAGACTCTGTGAGCAGCTCAGTCGTCTACTTCGACACTTTCTTGGACGACTGATTCTTCAGCTCACTCTCCCAACTCTGTATAAAGCTACTAGTAAGCGAATACATCTCCGCAGTGTACGGAGACTCCGGATCCTCCATATGCTTGAGCTTGTATCCCTTGTTCGCAAATATTGTCGCTGGTTGCCAGTCCTCGATCCTCGCGTGACTGATAGCGGCAATTCGGTACGCTTTGGCATAGTAGTCAGCAAGACCCTCTTGCTCAACAAGTCCAGCAAGTTGTGAACTTGCTTGCGCGTTCTTGCGGGCTTGTCGTTTGGCTGACTTCGACTTGGGCACGTCGAGGGTCAACTGTGGCTCAAAGTCTATGAACGCTTTGCTGATCTCGACTCGTCGCTGGTTGCTGGCTTGTTTGATAGCTTGCTCTGCTGCGCATGCTTCGCAGGTGCATTTGAAGCCATAGCGGTCAAGGCGTTTCTGTCGCTCCTCATGGGACGAGAGAAGGCCGATATACGATACGAAGAACTCTTCCCCTTTCTTGATCTTTCTGTTGGCGTACACCACCCTCTTGTTCAATTTCTTGCTCCAGTAGTAGCTAGTGTTTGGTCGGCATGAGTGGTTGATCCTGGCAATTTTCGGGAATAGGCCGATCTGATCATCTGTGTTGTATGCGTTTGTTCTGAAGATGATACCGAGCTTGTCCGTTGTCGCCTCCTCTACCGCGGTCGCATGGTATGTAAGAGACATTACTTCTGCCTGCACATCCGGAGAGAGACCCTCAAACTCCTTCCGAACGAGCTCTATTACCTGAGCCATTGGATATCCGGTGCCTCTCACGTACTCCGGTGGATCGATTTTCAGTATTGGTGTTTCGCGCATGACGATGTCGCCAATGTCGAGGTCGTGAAGCGCAAAAACACCCAGACCTTTGCCATTGCTGGGTTCAACAATGTAGATGTCTGGAGGTCCTTGGCAAATGTAGTCGCTCGACTGCCACGATGGGATGCCAGATATGTATGGTACGGATGATTTAGGAAGCCTGCATGTGGCGTGCGCAAAGGCGCCCACTACGAACGACGAAAACATGAAGGACTGGTAGAAGAACATGACGCTAAGAATGAATAACTGGGGATGAAGAGACTAAGAGTTTTCCTTGAACCTGACGTGCGACTTCTTGTACACTCTTTCCAGCTCATACTTGCCAATGCGTGAAACGCGTTTCAATCTGTTCTTGTCGCAGCATCCCTTCGCGCGCCGCTTGCTGCCTCAGACACGCGGAGAAGCTGAACCTCAAACACCATACTTACGACTGAGATTACTTATGATCCCAATGTAGATGTACGTCGATGGGGATTGGTAATGATGTAAATAAGAAAGAGATGTCTTATCCTTATCGCACAGCGGAACAATGCCGCAAATGCCGAAGCCGTCATCGGAACTGCCGAAGTGCTCATAGTCCCGAAATCGCGTCCCGTACTACCAAACCCGCTCTCTCCAGCAGCCTTCCCCGCGTAACGGGTGGGGCAAGCTCACAGGGCGTGGGCAGCCATAGGCAGCTTTAACAGTCACTACAGCCGTGCACCTGTGTACAGTCGATTCCACGAGCTACGCCTCTTGAAATTTTAATCTGAAAGCTTGAGAACAGCCAAAATGGTGTAAGTTGTTACAGACATAATATACGGCCTATGTTCTTCGACTGATGGTCTACCAGATACACAGCTTCTTTCGCCTTCTTCGAGGCTTTGTGGGAAGCTGGCGTAAGGAACGTTTTCGTCAACCTAGGATCTGACCATCCCTCCATCATCGAAGCCATTGTCAAAGGCCAGAACGAGAAGAAGGGTCAATTCCCCAAAATCGTGACATGTCCAAACGAGGCACGCATCTTGTAGACAGACATCGAGAGCTTGGACTGACATGGTCAGATGGTTGCCTTGTCTATGGCGGACGGCTACGCTCGATTCACTGGCAAACCCCAATGCGTTATCGTACACGTCGATGTCGGTACCCAAGGCCTCGGAGCGGCTGTCCACAATGCCTCATGCGGACGAGCACCGGTGCTCATCTTTGCGGGCCTATCCCCGTATACAATCGAAGGAGAGATGCGTGGAAGCAGGACAGAATACATCCACTGGATACAGGATGTGCCGGATCAGAAGCAGATCGTGGCCCAGTACTGCAGATACACTGGAGAGATCAAGACGGGCAAGAACGTCAAGCAGATGGTCAACCGCGCACTGTCGTTCGCCATGAGCGACCCCAAAGGCCCCGTCTATCTGTACGGCGCACGAGAGCCCATGGAGGAGGACCTCGCGCCATACCAGCTGCAGCTCGACTACTGGCGTCCTATCGAGCCATCAGCGCTCCCTCCAAGTGGAGTTGAGAACATCGCAGAGGCCTTGGTCAATGCACAAGAACCGCTTGTCATCGCAGGCTACACAGGTCGTAATCACGCAGCTGTACAAGAGCTAGTCAACCTGGCAGACAACGTCAAGGGTCTACGTGTACTCGACACAGGGGGCAGCGACATGTGCTTCCCCGCGAACCACCCAGCCTGGCTCGGTCTGCGCTACGGCAACGATCCTAGCATTAAGACAGCGGATGTCATTCTAGTCATCGACTGCGATGTGCCTTGGATCAACACGCAATGCCACCCCAAAGACACCACCAAGATCTTTCATGTCGACGTAGATCCCCTGAAGCAGCAGATGCCCGTCTTCTACCTCAATGCCATTCAACGCTACCGTGCAGACTCCTACACTTCGCTTTCACAGCTGAACGCCTACCTCGAGACAAACCTTAAAGACAAGCTGTCAAGCGAGCTCTTCACATCCCGCTGGTCAGCCCTTCAACAGTCTCACAAGGAGAAGCTAGAAACGATTGCCAGCGAAGCCACAGTAGACGATCAGGGTCACTTCGCAACGCCCTACTTGTGCTCGCAACTCAAAGCCCTCTGCCCCAACGACACAATCTGGGCCATCGAAGCCGTGACCCAAACCGGTTTCGTAGCCGACCAGATTCAAGCCACGCTGCCTGGGTCCTGGATCAATTGCGGAGGAGGTGGTCTCGGTTGGTCTGGCGGCGGTGCCCTTGGTATCAAGCTAGCCACAGACACAGAGGGCAAGAAGCAGTTCGTATGTCAGATTGTGGGTGATGGAACGTATCTCTTCTCGGTGCCTGGGTCGGTGTACTGGATCTCGCAGCGCTACAATATCCCCATCCTGACTGTTGTGCTGAACAACAAGGGTTGGAATGCGCCGAAGAGGAGTCTTCTGCTTGTGCATCCTGATGGCGAAGGGTCTAAGGTGAGCAACGAGGAGCTCAATATCAGCTTTGCGCCGACACCAGACTATTCGGGTATCGCAAAGGCAGCGTCTGGTGGTGAGATATGGGCTGGTCACGCGAGTACGGCGGAAGAGTTGGGTAAGCTCCTGCCTGAGGCTATCAAGAGTGTGTTGAGCGGGAAGTCAGCGGTCCTGGACGCACACTTGGAAGGTCCAGAAGGGAAGTATGGTGGTGGAAAGGGCAGGCTAGGCTAAACAACGAGAGTAGCTCGAGAAAGCGTCTTTTGCAACCATCAAATCAGTACCGTACACCAAGTCCGCATATCTCAGGCCTCTGCTCATTGTCGCCATTGTGTACAGCTAGAAGGACAACACCCACTTCATAAGTATCTTCAGTCTTGACCAGTGCGGCAAGTGCCTAGCGGCGACGATGATGGCTCCGTCGATAAATACTCGCATCGAGCAGCCCCAGGACAACACTTTTATTACGCCTAGATGATCCACAAAACGAAAAAAAACGAATCAGGATAAACTGACTCAATGGTGTGGAACAATGTCTGTCCTGCCTTTCATCGCGGCCACCACAACACCAACCCCACCACCCACAGAACTGAAGTCGGCTACACAATCTCTTTTAGACAATTTATCCTCGGAACAGCAACGGTAACGAGAATCCGGGGTGCGTTAGCCTTAGACAAGCTTTTCGGGTGCTTTCGTAATAGCAACGGGAAGGCTCGGGAGCTTTAGGGCCAGCCTTGCTGCTCCACCGGGTGTGCTTCCGACGACAGGCATCGTGAGATCCTGGCGTGCATCGGATGAGCAGGGAAACGCGACGCCCAAAATACAAGTGCGGATGTAGGTAAGACATGATGTGATGTGCTGAAGGGCTGTCTATTGAAATTACAAACCAGTAGTTGAAGAGACTGGCAGGTAGGAGTATTTGTAGATATCGTATTGCATTGTAGTCAAGAGTATGTATGTGTTACTTTACTTGAGACCAGGATGTCAAACGCCATTCCCAAGGCCGTGGTGTAGTCTGGGTTTTGTGCCGCGTGTGGCTTTAGAGAAAGGAAAGGTATCGTGAAATCATAACGCCCGTGTCCACTTGTCTGCTCCGTGAGATCCTACCCGTATCCTCAGCGGCCATCAGTCAAATCGATGCATGCTCTTGCATTCCTCGTGCTGCGCACTTTGAGGTCGTATTGCAGGCTCGTGCTGCGTACCCGCCTAGCGCCTGTTACTCAAGAACCAGCTCTTCACGCCCCTCTCACCCATCTCGCGATGGCTACTCGGAGGGAGCGGCGCATGCTTGGTGTTAAGCGCCAGAGGAGCGAAACCCGTCTCGCTAACGCTCGGTGAGCGGGCATCCTTTGCGGGTAGAAAAGGTGGCGAGCCACCAACAGAGTATGTTGCGGTGCTGGTGCTGGTGACAGACGAGACCGACTGGTGCCGAGGCATGCTGACGGACCGGTTGGAAAGAAACCCGTGAGCAGGCTGCTCGGGCAGCTGAGCGACGGCGCCGCTGGATAGCTCGCTGTTGCTGAGCGTGCTGGAAGGGACATCGCTAGCGCGCTTGATGGGCGTGTTGAGCGAGAGAAAGTTCTTGGGGAACGGGATGTGGTATTGGCCAGAAGTAGACATTGCGCCAGGTTGTTGGTTGTTATTGTTATGGGTGGTTGGTATTGGTTGTATGTTGGTAGGGTGTTGGAAGTTGAGTGGAGGTAAATTGGTCTGCTGAGGTGAGGGAACAAGGCGACCGGCGCTTTTATGTGTAGTGGGGGTTTGTGGGTGGGTTGTTGTGGGTTGTGAATGCCAAGGTTCCGCTGGTCCCGTGGGTGCTCAGGGAGAAATGTGGGCTAGTGCGTGTGGCGATTGGCTGTTGTGACTGGCTGATCGAATTGTGCTGATCTGGTAAGAGCAAATCTCCGGTGACTTTATACTGCCTTGTGTGCCTAGTCGAGTTGTGTAGTGAGGAGGATTGTGGAGCGACTAGCCCTGCATGAAGGTACAAGTTTCCTCAAACAACGTGTAGCCTGGGGTTGCAGCGTGGGATGTCGCAGTTGCTTCCGCACTTGTGTTCTTGGCTGTGAAGCTTTGTGAGGTTCTGTCGATCCTAGTGGTCCGGGCCGCTGGGGAGCTTCCGGTGTAGATGGCGGATAGGATGCAGGAGATGGTGCAGGTGAAGCACGACGAGCCTTGGCAGAAATGTGCTTGATCGAATGTGCAAGCTGCTAGGCGTGTTTGCGTAGCGGCTAGTGTCTGAACAGATACTTCGAAGCTCTTAGCTGTGGGTTCTTGTACGGTCTGAGGCACTACTTGGTTCGATTGTTCTTGGCGAAGCTGTGCGAGAGGCACGAATTGCGATCTTCGTGTTTTAGTTTGGCGGTGGCTCAAAGTAGTTCCAGAAAGGTTTGGGACAGGTGCTTGTGGTTTCAGTGTTTTGAATCTCTTAGTGGAAGATCACTGCTTGGCGGGGAAGTTTGACGCGGCAGAGTGGAGTCTTCGTGATACACAACGGAAAATTAACAGGAAACCAAGAGCGAGTCTAGAGCTGGAACACAGACGGGGGAGGTGCGCTTTAGACAAAGATTCAGGGTTCGGCCTAAGGAAGTGGTGAAGATGCACGACAAGGTTTAGGAAGGAGATTCCGAGGTCCAAATATGCAACACCAAACGCTTGAGCGAAAGACTCGTCCAGCTTACATCGGAAAATTGGGTTAAAATTGGAGCACAAATCTTATGGACCCCACCTTGTTGACAGCTTTTGTGATCAGGCATAGTCAGTCGGCGCGCGCTAGAAGCGTCGAAAGCGGGCCAAAGTTAGGAAACTACCACGTTCGTTCAGCAAGACAGCTCTGTGGTCGTGGGATGTCTGGACGAAAGCGTCGTGCACATTGTAAGGAAATGACGTTAACGCCGCACGTCGCCCAAGCTCCACTGTGATAGGCTCCAGCAGGGTACTAGTCATGATGATCTTTCGGCGTGCATAAGCCTCCTTGCTTGCGAATCCCACGAGGACAGGGACATGTGAGCAACTTAAGTTTTGGGTACAGATTTCTGGGGAGCTAGCCGGCGGTGAAGGCGCGTGCGTCGCGTTTGCGGGGGGTCATTGTGGCCGTAGGCGCGGGTTCGCTCGCAATTCGGTGCGAATGCAAGTGTAAGCCGGAGATAGCCTGGTGCATACGCTGATGAAATTCAGGATCGTGCCATGGTGTGATTGAAGAGGAATGGACGAAGGAAGAGCTGAGATTGCGAAAAGAATCGGCGAAAGATGCGAGCCTCGGCCCCGATTGCTATCTTATTGCAGGCGAGGAAGGTGCAACCTCCCACCAACAACTTTGGTTTCATCATGACGACCCCCGCAGGGAATGACAGACGATAGCAACGCCAGTTCGATTGACAAGCCGTGGACCGCATGTGTTGTTCCAGCGCTGCTCCAGTGCTGCCATGGCTGCAGCCTTCTCGCCTTGACTTTAACGGCAAGTTTCGCACCCGTCAACCTTCAGATTGGCGACAACAACAGAGCCTCTTGGCTGCAAATCATACTCGTCTTGTCTCAACCTCAGTCCGCATTTGTTTGACTGGCCGCTTCAAGGTGGCGTCCAATTGACGATCACAGTGTGCATACAAGAACAATGCGCCTCCTGGCTCATGGTCACAGAGCCGCGGGGGTTTGGATCGTCTATTCGACTCAGGAAGTGATATCGCCCCGACTTGCGATAGCTGGAGGCAGTGGGGCGAGCATGACTCGAAGATAGGACTAGAAGCTGCGGTCCAGCTCCAGCATCTTCCTGTATCGTCTTGAAAGGAAGTCATGGCTCTGACGTAGATGGTGGGCACGAATACCGCTGCTCAGGGCTGGGTCGCTGCAGTTTCTTGATCAGATTCATTCACGCGCATAAATCTGGTTTGCAGAGACTTGGGTCTTATGGCTTTTTCTCGATCAACAGGCAAGTGTACCGTATTCACAAGAAGATGACGTGATCTGCAAGCTGACCTAACGAGTGGGCATGAGGTAGAGGCGCACGGAAGGTGCGGATGAGGTGCATGTAGACTCGTTGTGGAAGTGGGGTTGGTAGTGCCTAGGTGGTGTCTTGCTGCATGGGAAGGAAGCTATGTGGATCGGCTTTCTTTAGTGCGATCCATGTCCGGTGAGCAGCTGTTGAGCAAACGAGTCGATGTCAAGCTCCATGTTTTCAAAGAGCTATTGAAGGCGTCTGGTGGGATGCTTTGATGAGGCCCAGTTGCATGTGAAAAGCATTATCCATTCAGTCGTGCCTACCTACATGCCACGTGCTGCTGGCTCTTAGCGTCATGGCCATCTTGCGCTTGTTCAGACGTCAGTAACCATCCTCCGACAACGACACCTTCCTCAAGCATCGAACAACCATTTCTGCGCTTCCTCCGACGCTGAAGATCACCGGCATCTGCGTTGCGATAATGACCATCGTGGACTGGTGGATGCTTCCGAGCTCACCGAAATAACAATGTCCAAAGTACGAGCAATTCACCATCACGAATGCGACGTAGAGACACCCATCGGCCCACGCCGCCTCAGTCTGTGCCCTGCTCATTGAAAACGCATCATGTTGCTCTAACACAACCATGTACAAGCCAATCTCGAGGGCATTCAATTACAATGTGTTGCCGTTCATTGCAGTGCAATACCTTGCGGGATCAAAACTACTCTGATGCATTGCGATATTCCTACAGCTTTCAGGTAACGGTCGCGACCGGTGCTGTGACCCTTCTTCATTTACTGAGTGCCACGTTTCTGCCACACTCTCAAAAGCCCGGATGTCCTTTCAACCTGCTATACCCAGCCTCTTCTCGCTTTCTCTACCTATCACCTGAACCTGGTGGAGGCCACAACGACCGACAACTCTCGGCGCTATGTTCTCTTCGGCTCAGCATGCTTTCGCCTACGATTGATTCATCTTCACCTCATCGGCGCCACGTCAACCTTGCTATTCGCTGCCTGTGCGCCAAGCCCACACGCTCTTTAGCAAGCAATCGAAACTCGCCGTCACTTCGAGTCTTGCCACGACACCCCCACGACCACACACTCTTTTTTGACAACACTCCTTTGGGAAGCCTTAGGTTGGGACTACATTCGAACGAAAACTAAACCTAGCGTACGAACGCATCTGTTTTTCCAGTAATCGCGACCAGCGCCTATATCATTCTGCCAAATTCGAGATGCTGGACATCAAAGCAGACAACACCTGCGTAAGACTTCCCCATGCAAGACCTTGGCAGTCTTTGCACCTCCTACCCTTTTCAGCGAAGTATACACGCGTTCAATGCCAGGTAAGAAGATTGCTGACGGTGCGGCAAAACAGCCGCTGCCGCATCTCCCAGATGAGATCGTAGGCGAGATTGGAGCCAAGATCGTAGATCCAAAGGACTTCTGCAACTTTCGTCGCGCCAACAAACGCTTTAGCGAAGCGACGAAGTATGCACAGGGCAAGCGGATCGCCAATGTTACGGTATACCCGAGGTTCGCCGGCATGAAGGCTTTACTCGCAGCCGTTCAGGACGTCGGGGTCGCGAAGTACGTACGCAACATCACCTTGCTGGCGGAGGGCTTGAAAGAACACGAGTTCGGCTACGTCTGGGCTTGGGAGGACCTGCAGATCTGGGCCGACCTCCAGTACACCCAAAAGGACGTCAAGATCATCAACAATATCAATGCTGCTCACGCTGACGATGTTGTTGTGAACGGCGACTTCATCATCACGGGCCAGTATCGTTTGATGCTCACCACCCTTCTGGAACGCCTTCCGAATCTCGCCACGATCACTGTCCGCAAGCTTGCCCCTGGTGAGCATATTCCCGGCTGGTCCGGAGTAAAACTCTTTAAGGAGCTCTCCTTCTACCGCGATGGACTCGACACGCGCCAGATCTTCTATGGTGACTGGCAGTATGATATTTTGCACCGCCGCATCACTCATTACCGCGACGAATACGGCGACCTCATTTCTGAGCCTGACGCTGGTCCGCAGGCCTCCTTCGTCGATGATCTGAAGGCTGCTATGAGCGCCAGTGGCACCGAGGCGAAAGTCGCTTTCCTTCCCGTCGCTAGATACGAGAATTGCTAGGACCCCAAACGTCCTACAACCTAATACCAGATCTTCCCACCCTAAAGTACGTACTGAACACCAACGTTAAATCGTGCCTTTACGAATGACGCTTACAGTTTCAAGACACCGGATTTGGTTGGAAGGAGATGACGATTTGCGAGGCGTTCAAGGAGATGTATCAACTTGGGAAACCAGCCTCATTCTTTCATCAAAGGTAAGTTTCCGGATCCTTCATGCTCGCGCAGCTGTTGACTTTGCAGTTGCTACTACTCTGTTGCTTTTGATGGATGTTGCTTGTGTTTGGGCTGTAATTGTAGACAGCTGTGGGCTATTGCCTTCTTGATGGTCATACTTTGGACCGTAATAATACTTGATGCGTTCTTTGAACCTGACATTACTCTTGTGTGGATTGAGAAACACTTTGAAGCGTGGCTTGAGTTGTTGAAGTCGTCAGAGGGCTCGAAGTGTTCATCATGCTGGCTGCATGAACATCTGTACTCGCCCAGCTCGTTCCCTTCACATTGCCAAATCTGTCCTCCAAGTTGGTTTCTACTTTCCCGCCCTAGACCTTACTTCAATAACGTTTGAATGCAATTGCAAGCAACGAGTCTAGCAAGGTGAATGATCTCCATACCGGCCTGATGCACTGTTGACCATACTTCTGTCCTTGTTTGTACATCGAGGACGCAGCATAGCTTCAGCCTGGCCCAAAGAGAGCTGTGGCAGAGACAAATGAGACAATATAAGTATAACAAAGATATATGTAACAAGGAGCGACACATGATTCGACAGTGGCGTGGTACGAGCTAGGAGTGATTGATAGTAAGACGACTATGGCATAGCACACCGTCCGAAATGGCCGGCGCCGCTCGAACGAGGCAACATGATGTGTGTTACTTCATCCGGCTTCTAGGCTTGATCTGACTTGAGGATATGCAGGTCGATATTTGCTGTCACATCTTCGTCCGGTGTCATCGACCGAACATGTCAAGACGATGAGAATGGATGAGGTATCTCGACGAGTTGTAGGGTCGCGTGTAAGTACAACTGAGACAAGTAGGCGAGGAGAGTGTGGCTGCAGAGTTTTTGACAATGGGGAAGCGTGATATGTTGAACTTCTTGACCGGTCGATCGGTAGGACCTTATTCGACATCGTACTGCACAGATACCGATAGGTTCGAAGGAAGGCAAAAGAAGAAAACGGAGTGATGACAATGCGTATTGTTCGTCGTGCTGTCAATTGATTACATAGACGATAGATGGCAGTAATAGCTCGATTCGCAGCGGCCAAGACATGCGAACGTCAACACGGGCTCGAGATATGCGACGGAGAAGCAGAACCACATAAGCCATGGTGAACAATAAAGAGAGACTATACCGTACAAGTCCTCCAACTCGAATAGATTCCATCAGTATGTACGGGGCAGATGCCTCATGCCTGCGTACCCAACTTTTGCTCCCACACAACAAAAGGAATAGCTCGAACTGAAACAGCAACGACAACAAAGCTGACTGACTGGCGAACAGACAGACAGCAGATGGGGACCAGCTTGGTATGACAGACATTCCAACTCCAACAAGAACAGGGCTGGGGGTAATAATATACGCGGTCGCGTCTCAAAGTAAAAATCAATAATCTCCAGGGAATCTTCAAACGCCGGTAAAACTCCAATGCTGCTGCGCTCTCGTAAATGGCTAGAGGCAATGATATCTCCAAATCCTGATGACGTGGCCGAAGTGAGAATGATGGGTTTCGGGCATGGCGCGATCGGAGCAGTGATCGTAAGGGGGCTCGTGTATTATATAGTAGGAGGGCGCAGTATGCACAGCGGTCGACGTGTGGCGCCAGAAACGGTGGAAGGCCTGGGAGGACGGCGCTATAATATACCGGAGTCTTTCAGGGCGTTCTGCAGTATTGTTTCTTTGACGGCGGCAAAGACGAGTCGGATGTTGGAGGTGTCGGTGGCTTGTGTGAGACTGATAAGGTCAGTGACGGTTACGTACGATGACGTGTGTACGACTTACTGAGGATATAAGTTGAGGTGAGCGCGGTTGACTTGGTTGAACCGCCAGAGGAGGTACTTCGCAGCACGGTTGACATCGTTACCCCCTGAGTAGTCGGGGAAGTAGTTGCCAAGTGGTGACCGCGCAAGTTTCGCCTTGAACAAGTCGACCTTGTTGAGGAAGAGGATGATCGATGTCCGCATAAACCATCGGCTGTTTACTACCGAATCGAAGAGTACTAGACTTTCCATCATGCGGTTCTAGGTGCACGAGTCAGTGGCTGGATCAGTAAGTCAATCAGTGCCCGTACCTGTGAGCTCTCTTCCAACAACACTTGGTCATATTCGCTCAATGCCACACAGAAGATGATCGATGTGACGTTTTCGAAACAATGTATCCATTTCTTGCGCTCGCTTCTTTGCCCGCCAACGTCGAACATGCTGTTTCATGTTAGCCGAACTGCCTCAAAGTCCGCCGAAGCCGGGCCACATACTGGATGCTCAATTGACCCATTGTGAATCTTGTCTCGTATATACCAGTGGTCTTGGTTCGTGCTCGCAGGACGTCGGACTCGATGGGGATGTAGTTGGGATCTGATATTCGCTCGACCTCCTCGAAGAAGCTGGCAGCGTTAGTGATGCGGTGGGGGAGGTGATATAGACCAAACATACTATGGCGCCGAGTCCATCAGGTAGAACTCGCTCGAGTGCTCGAGCACCTTGCCTATGCAGCCGTCGCGCCACAGCGAGGTAATGGCCTGGCCGACTCGCACGTCCAGCGGTTTCTCTGGGTCTGGGTCGACGGTGTATTCAACGAGGTAGTTGCAGTATTCGTCGTTGCCAGGGATCTCAGGCTCGATCTCGAATTGCCGCATGGCGCCAATGAGGGCTTTGGCGCAGTCGATGACGTTCTTGTATATAGTCAGGCGGTACATGGCGAGCTCCTCTTGTGTGTAGCCGTTCTGGTGGATGATCTTCATCTGCTTGACGATGGTCGACTTGCCGCTTTCGCCAGAGCCTGTGGTGCATGTTAGCCTTTTCGTCTCATGTGCAGGCGTGGGCGTGGGCGCTCAGCTGCGTACCCAGCAGCAGGATCTTGCATTCCCGCCGCAGCCGGCGCGAGTCCTCCTCGAGCTTGCGGTCAATGGCCTGGCTGCGCTTCTTCTGCTCGCCATCCTCGGGGCTGGAGCTCATGCAGATGCCCATCGTGTCTGGTGGTCGCAGCGGCTTGCCGCCGCAGGATGATGGGGGAGGTCGGGAGGATACAATGGGGCAGCACTAGGTCCAGCGCGTCGTCGCAAGGGAGTCGGCTGCAGGCGTTGCTCTGGCGGCGAGACAGCGTCTCAGTGCTGGGAATCGGCGTGGCAGGCGGCGATGGGAGATCGGGGGGCTTGAATGCTTCCGTCAGGGCGGACGGCGGGTGCGGGTGCAGGCGCAGAGGGTGGCCGCCAGCGTGGGTGTGCAGCAGAAGGAGGCGCGGGTGCAGACGGGCGGGCGGGCGTCGAAGGGCGGCGGGCTCTGCAGCGCTGCGTTGTTGGTGTCGTAGGGTGCAGCTCGCGCTGGGGAAGGAGGCCTGTGCGGGAAGGTGCGCCTTGTTCGTCAACAGAACAGGAAGATCAGACGCGCAGAGAACGCCGGGCTGGAGGTGCGCGGAGGATAGAGACGGCTGCAGTCGATTTCGCTCAGAGCTGCCCGCTGGTCTGCGGAGATGGGCTCCACTGCGCAGGTCGTGCAGGCGGTGCGGTCGTCGAGGGGATGGGCAGAGCGATGCTGCGCGGCTACAAGCTCCCTCACTGCACGCAAGCGTTGGGCTAAGCCCCAGGTCAATTGCTCTAACACTGTAGCGCTCTAGCAAATCTGGCAGCCGTGCATCGACAAGCAATCGACGGGAGAGCGGCACGAGCCAGCAATAGCAGCGACAGAGGCAGCAGCGCGGGTGGAGGCGACGAGTGTTTGGAGACTGGGTGCGTTGGGCCAGCGGAGAGCTGATGATGCGCTCAAGCGTCGATGTGCAGTGGATGAACGCTCGCCCGTGGTGGCTTACTCTCGGGCGCGACGTGCTATTGGCAGACCACTCTGAGGGCGAGAGATGACTTCGGATTGTGAACCCGCTGCAGAGGTGCCTTTCATTGCCTCTGACATTTCGTACCCGCAGACACAACGCCCTTAATGGCTGCACCCTGGTCCTCAGCGATAGGCGCGACGACTGTGCCCCAAATTGCTGGGTGCTGGGCATTGAACCTGCAGAACATCCCACATGGCCTTCAACTGTCGCCATGGGCACGCCTGCACGCTGCTAGCCGCCCTCAGCTGAGCAACTTGAGCCTCTTCGAGGGCCCTGGCAAGCTTGGAATGAACCCCGACTAGTGCCCGGCACAACTCAGATCATTGTCTCGACGCAGCCAAGGCGAAACTCTGGACGCTCTTCGGTGTTCTGCAGCAGCAAGCATCTGTTGATGCTCTTGGATGGTGTATCGAGCTAAGCCCGAGTCTGGGCTGCATCTAATTAAAGGACCGCAACAGCTTCACGAATAGGGCTCTCAAACGCCTAGCCTCCAATCGTGTTCCAAGGGAGCCTTTACGAAGCAATTGTTCCTACAGCGCCAAAACTTCATTATCCGTTTATAGCATCTCGAAATAGTTGTCCTGAAGCATACAATGGACAATTGATGCAAATACCCATTTGAACTGGGAGATCTCAGGAGCACAGAGAAGGTGTACTTCCCACCTATCGGAGTGTCCAGCGCTTGACATCTGCACGCAATTCAAACTTACCTCCGCCATACCCAGTCTAGTAAGATACACTGCATGCACAAATTATTGTAAACCCTTCAAAATTCCGTGTGCACCCCAGATATGTCATCTGTCTTTGCCACGTTGTTGATCTCCGGACGCTATGAAGAAGCTCGTTTCTATTGAGTTATGGGCTTTGAGTTTGTGCACCGACCCCATGAAACCACAGCCAACACTACACATCCATATAGTTTTTACTCCTTCAATCCATTCATAAATATGCCTATTTCACGCCAGAAAACGTTGAACTATAAAGAAAACAAGGTTACCAAGCCTCCCAACACTTCCTGCACTGAAATGTCACCCACAATGTGCGTGTTTGTGGTGGGCGCGCTTGCCGGCATGCAGGCTGATTATGCATCCCTCACGGACCTTGCCAACACTGTCAACTGCAGTCAACCAGGCATCTCAATGCTGCTCAAACGTGTAAAGGAGAAGACAGAGGAACTTTCCTGTTGATTTGTGGGACAAGATACTATACAAGAACGACCAGGGTTGCGGCAGATCAACGCTCTTAAAGCAAGAGCAGAAGGATCAGACCATTGCACTTGTCACATCAACACGCAACTGCAAACAAGAGCCATGGCAGGCTATTGCGCATGGTGTTTTAGTCACATTGTGTCTCAAACAAGCATCACAACCTCTGAAAACGTGATGTATGAGGCAGGCTACGCGCGGCGGAGACCAGGTGTAAAGAATGGCCTGGGTGTACAGGCACGATAGGCAGATAGCAGTAGGTTACCGGTAGTAATTGATCAAACTGCTGAGGGCCCTAAGAGAGGGCATCCCTCAGCCTATATACCCAAAGGGCTCCCAAGGGGGCCTAAGGATGCCTAAGGAGCCCGCTCGTGACACCAGGCTAGAAACCACACCTCACCCGCAATCAAGAGGAGTGCTATGGATGGACACTTCAACACAACCCAGAGTTTCACAAGGAGTACAACAACAAAAGCTTCAACTTATCGAGCTTCTTCGTGAAGTCCCGCGATGCTGCAAGGTTGTTCAGAGCAACCTAGCTCGATACGAAGCTTCGTAACAACATCCGCTCTTGCAACACATGACACTGAGCTGTTTCTGAATAAACACACAGCACAGCAACTGCCGTTGCGTCTTTGAGGTTGTCCTTCTTTCGGGCGTACGGTTTGTGACTGCATCAAGTCTGGTATTTGGGTTGATGCCAAAGATCAAAGGTTGAATATGCAGCCTCGCACAAGGTTGATGTTGAAAGCAAGCTGAGGATAAACATTTGTTGGTTGTAGCTTGCTGAAATACCAGCTCTGGTCTTCTTGCTTATGATTTTGCATTGCTGCTTTATCAACTGTGATGGTGCGGGGTCAGCATGTTGTAAGTGATTACTTGCGTCTTCTGCGCTTTGGTTGTACTTCATGGTGCAGTCGATTCCAGGCAGTTACCATATCGCTAACGAGTCACTCAACCTCTCACTTGCTGTGAGTCAAGACGATTGTCGAACGCTGTCCAAGAGGTATGGACAGACACCCTTCTCTGGCGCTGAAAACTCGCCCAGAGTCTTCTCCCCCGTTGCGCCTCGTTGCTGTATTTTCTCAAGTATCCTTTCAGCTTACCTTGTGTCTGGAGGCCCTCACCCATACTCGATAGTCGCGGACTCAATCCAGCGTAGGCATAGCGTGGAGTCCGGCATGTCCAGCAGCACTTTTCCGACTCTTTACTCAATTTCAGAGACATTGCATATTGAATACTGAGTGTTCGCTAGAATTTCCTTGATCTGCGACTGTGGTAACTTCGATGAGCAAGACGCGTCAATAACAAGAAGTCGTCCACCGCAAAAGGACCGTTGATGAGCGTGACAATCTTGGAGGATAAGTACTGCGCTAGGCGGCTCGATCGAGATCGTGATTTGATGGAACGGGAAGGCACAAACGAGGCTGGACCACGAGGAAGGTGGGGAAGAGGACCTTGAAAGAACAAGAAACAACTACAGCTCGTATCCCGTAGCTTGTCAGTGGGTGTAATAAAAGTGCATCATTCATACAAGTCGTGAGTTGGCGGTGCAGGGCTGCATCAGTCATGAGATTGTACTGTTGCAGATTGGGTGTTAGCTTCCATGGGATTTTCTCAGATTACGATGACGTAGCCGGCCGATACCTGTCGGTGCACGCTGCCAGGGCAGGCCAGCCGTGTGAATGGGCCATGTACACCGCGTTATTGCTGCCCCTCGTTCCTCTGTCCTCCGCAAGTGTTTACTTAAAGTACGTCTTTGTCCCTGACCCGGCAGTGATCAGCATCCCGCTACCCTCTCACTCGTCAAGTCTTGATCTCGGCCTGCGCCGTCCCTGTGTTGCCCATCTCGGCCGCTCTGTTTCTCCCTACCGAGCGCGTTCTTGCTACGTCCAACTTTGCGACACACTGAGCAGTGCTAAATAGAACTTCTCCAGACTCTGCACCTCCTTCTCCTTGCGCAGACTCTTGTAGTTGTGTAGAAGATCACAGGCGTGCGCTCCGCGGAAGACCTCACCGAACCAGTAGACGAACGCAGCCCTGTCTTGGTCTCGTCCGCACTGCAAACCTGCTAGACGCTACACTCCAACCACAACAACACCACCCTCGCCTCTCCGAAATCCCTCCTACCCGCGCCTGTCGTAGAACCCATTCGACTTCAATTCACCATGGCTGAATTTGTGCGCGCCCAGATCTTCGGCACGACGTTCGAAATTACAAGCAGGTGCGGCGACTACCCCACATTGCGGGTTTGCGCATAGTTGACAACATGCAGATACACCGATCTGCAGCCTGTGGGCATGGGAGCCTTCGGTCTCGTCTGGTACGTCTGAATGCAGCCAGAAAAACCGATCACAGACTCATTGAGAATGCAGTTCGGCGAAGGATCAGCTCACTAGCCAGGCCGTGGCGATCAAGAAGATTATGAAGCCCTTCAGCACTCCGGTTCTGTCGAAGCGCACCTACCGCGAGTTGAAGCTCCTCAAGCACCTGAGGCACGAGAATGTGCGGACAATACCCCACAGTGCACAATCAAAAGGGTCCTGACAGCAAACCAGATTATCAGTTTGAGCGATATCTTCATCTCCCCATTGGAGGACATGTAGGTTACACATGCACTTGTCACTACAGGGTTTGCTGACCCTCCTAGTTACTTCGTCACCGAGTTGCTCGGAACCGATCTCCACCGCCTGCTCACTTCCAGGCCGCTGGAGAAGCAGTTCATCCAATACTTCCTTTACCAGATCCTTGTATGTGAAGAGTACTCTACATTCAAGACATTTGGCTGACTTCAGACAGCGTGGTTTGAAATATGTCCACTCCGCTGGTGTCGTTCACCGTGACTTGAAACCCAGCAACATCCTCGTAAACGAGAACTGTGATCTGAAGATCTGCGATTTCGGCTTGGCCCGTATACAAGATCCCCAGATGACCGGATATGTTTCCACCCGCTACTACCGCGCACCGGAGATCATGCTCACATGGCAAAAGTACGATGTTGAGGTCGATATCTGGAGTGCAGGTTGCATCTTCGCAGAAATGCTCGAGGGCAAGCCTTTGTTCCCTGGAAAGGACCACGTCAATCAGTTCTCCATCATCACAGAACTCCTGGGTACTCCTCCGGATGATGTTATCCAGACCATTTGCAGCGAAAATGTAAGATGAGCCTCCAGCATGATCGCCAAACCATCAACTAACGTTTGCCAGACATTGCGATTTGTGCAATCTCTGCCCAAGCGCGAGCGCCAGCCTTTAGCCAACAAGTTCAGGAATGCCGAAGCAGAAGGTCAATCATTCTTTGCAGTTTATTGTGGAATCCCGCTAACAAGTTGCAGCTATTGACTTGCTCGAGAACATGCTGGTCTTCGATCCAAGGAAACGTGTACGAGCTGAGGAGGCTCTTGCTCACCCATACCTCGCCCCCTACCACGACCCCACCGATGAGCCGAAGGCAGAGGAGAAGTTCGATTGGTCGTTCAACGATGCTGACCTTCCGGTTGATACTTGGAAGATCATGATGTGAGTCTCCTTGCGACACCATCTTACATAAAGATACTAACAATGCCAGGTACTCGGAGATTCTCGATTACCACAACGTCGATGCTGCTGCACAGGAGGAGCAGAATGGCAGCTGAGATACCCAGGAGACTCGAACGCGGAACCAACGCTGTGCTTGTATGGCATGATCCACTTCTTCGAGAAGAAGCTCGCTTCATTCGAATCTGGTGTCGCGACCTGCCTCGCGCTGGCGGGTCTATAGTCTTTTCTCTTAATATTCTTCATTTCAGGGGTCACTGCTATTACAAGCGCGGTAGAAGGGGAAGTGAATTGGTGTTTCTTGGATTCCAATTTGGTACACAGGCGTGTTGATGGAATGAGCGATTGATCATGGTGAAGTGACGGGTAGCAGCACGCAGGCATCGTCTCTGGCTCGATGTCCTTCCTCCTCTTATGTTCGATCCTGGAGAATAGAAGCACAACTTACGACTCACATGATTTACCTGCCTTACTTGGTGTGGCTGATGTTTGCGTTACCCTGAGCATTCTTACGGCAGGAGACTAAGGTGCCCAGCTTCTACCTCTAACCATCCGTCCGGCCTCCAATCACGACCTTCAAAGCCTTTTGTTTATCAGACAAACGCTCTCGTATCTCGGACCACCGAAGTGTGGTGAATGGCATGATCTACGGCCCGTCACGCCTCAGGGCTTGCCGAGGCGCTTGAAAGCAGTTTAGTTCCACAGGGCTGATGATCCATCGTCACCGCCAACACCTCCGCGCCCCGCACTATTGAAGGACGCGAGCCTGGCGCATGGCTTCGACTCGATCTCGTCCAGCTGCCCGATACCTCGAATGACCGCGATATGGCGACTCTGACCCCCTCGACTGCGCTCGCCCCGCTCGTCTGTATCATCGACTTCCATCACGCGAGGGGTCCTGAAGTCGAAGCTTGGATAGGCCTCGAGAATGGCGAGGACCCAGCAGTTGAGCATGACTGGCCACTGCTCCCGTTCATGGCTTTAAGTGACGGTGCGCATGCGTGAGTACTTATAGCACAAATCAACACTGCAACATCGAAACTTCATCTTTCCACTTCACGTTCACATGCTCTCTGCTGTTACACAAACGAAGGACTGACATCACCCAGCTCAACAGAAGACTATTCCTACTTTACCCTCCGGCGCTCCGCCACACCCTCTCATGCTGCAACAAGTCTCTTCGGTATATCATGTACACGGCAACTACCAGCAAGCGAACTTATCGATCGACCCGCCGACGTCACAAGGAGTACAGTACAAAAGGCGGTGGTAGTCGTGACCGACAGCCCACAGCACTTTGGCGCAATCAAGGCACAACTGGGCGTTGTCACGGCGGCATGGTTTGCGCAAAGGTACGTTGGGCTCGAGACACGAAAAGCTTGTGGAAAGAAAGAGGGAAGGATATCAGAGTCTCTGGCTGACTCTGCTTAGAGACTTTACGGACATTGATATACTGCAAAGATTCCATGAAAGTCTGCCACGGCTGCTGGAAAACCAGGAGGGCCAGGTCGAACACTACTTTGGCATATCGCTTCGCGAGTTCATTCACGAATTCAAGTGGCAGACTCTTGTGCTGTTCAAGTGCGCTTTACTTCAACCCAAGGTAAGCAACGAGCAGCATACCACACGAGGACTCGTTGTGGAGTCGGTCACCCAGCCAGCAGCGCTGACAACATCCAGGTTCTCTTCTTTGGCTCTCATTGCGAACGGTTATGCATGATGCAATTTGCTCTCATTTCTTTGATACCCGGCCTTATGCGCCACCTTCAAGACTCTGCAGACCCCAAGTTCAACTTGGGCGAAGAGATGATTGTTATGCCTACAAGTCTCAAAACATCTGAGCGTTCATCGTGTCAGTCTCTCCACCAACCTCAACATGCATCAGACTGATAGTATCCAGTACTTGCATATATGGGCCTTCCACTTCAATTGTTCGGGAAAGGCTCACTTTTCGGCCCTTATACACCACTGCAACAGCTTGACATGCTTGCCGACCAGGATACGAAATCATATATTGTGGGTTCGACAAATTCGCTGTTGCTGCAACAGAAGGACCGGTACAGCGACATACTCATCAATCTCGACGATCACACTGTAAATATCACATCGAGTTCATTGCGCCAAGCATCTATCCTCTCGACACCAGACCGGAGATGGATAGACTTCTTGACACAGACAGTGAACGACTCTTGGGACGAATCAGATCCCGCGCGGCCCAAAGATCATGGATACACCGGCAGTGAAGAGTTTATCCGGATGCAATTCGAAGAGTACCTTCTCGCTATGCTAAGCTCGGTCAAGTACAAGCTTTACATGGAGAAACACCCAAGCCACGAACCCCTAATGCCTGAAGTTCACGGTGACCCAGCAAGCGAGTTCTCGAATGACTGGGTGCACGCATGGATTCAGACTGAGAACTTCCGGATATGGAATAAGTTCACCGATTCACACCTGTTTGACATCGTCGATCCCAAACACCCTTGCTCTGGAGGTCTATCGATCGAAGACGTTCAAAGAAGACTAGCAGCGTAAGTCACGGCTTTCCATTGTCTCTCCTCGCAACTAAGCCTCCCAGTCTATTCTCTGACATCACCTTTCAGGTTGTCACCATAAGTATCTGTGTGCTGATTCTAGCGTGGCGCATAGGCAAGTAGCAGAGCTACATCTCGACGAACGACTCGAGAAGTCGCGAGAAGTTATCGGAAAGAACGTCGCAGCCGGTCAGGCGAAAGTCTCGACAGCATACAATAAGCTGTGGGCGGACATGGAAGCTATGCGTAAAGCCCAAAAACAGCGGCAAGAAGAGCAAAGGGCAGCAGCTGAGAAGTTACGCCTTGAGCAAGAGAAAGAAGGCAAAGTGCCAGAAGCAGCCGGCAAATGTAAGTCAAACTGCCAGAAGCTGTCACTGCAACGTACCTAATATATCGCCAGGGAAAGCACAGGCCCCAGACCTCAGCAATGCCCGCGCCAGTGCCGGCGCCTACTTCTCCTCCTGGGGCTCCTGGGCCAGCGAGAAGCGCAAAGGCTGGGGCAGTCGCAGCGCCTCCGCGAACCAAACACCCGTCTCCTCACCACCGCCTAGCGCAGATCCGCAGCCTGGTGATTTGAAGAGGACAGAGGAGTTCAAGAGAGACAAGGGTGCGAGTCTCGATAGCTCGACGCTGCATAGTGAGAGGGGCAGTTCAGGGCATAAGAGGATAGTGAGTTATGATGAGACTACGGATGGAGAGAAGAGGAATAGTGGGGGCGTATTTTTTGATGCGGAGGTTGTGGAGAAGGAGAGGAATGCTTGAAGGATGGATCGAGAGCGGCGAGAGGAGGAGTTGGTACCTCAGGTTATTATATGGTTGGGTGACGGCAGGTGCGTACACGACTTGTACTTGGTTATACACATCCACAGTCTCCTGGGTGTGTAAACACATGGACAAGCATGACCGGCCCTACAGGTATTCCCTGACTGATGAGGCACTTGTAGGGCCGGTCATGCTTGTCCATGTGTTCGCCGATGAACACGAACATCAACAACAATCTTTCGGACGATTTTGGTCACTTTCTTGTATCCACGACCTCCTCGCATGGTCTCCAAGTATCCTGTCTAGTATTGATACGAGGGCATAATCGGCATCGTGTAGGCGTGGTCATACGGATCGAGGTTGCTTCGGTTCCTTACACATGAATGTCAGGCAAGCGCTGGATTTTGCAATTGAAAGTAGTAATCAGGTCGAATAGTATAGCAATGACGGTGTCTCCATTCGGCTGCCAGTGATCTTACGTAGCGGCTGAGTAGAGGTTTGAAGGGCAGGTATGTGCCATGATGTGATTTTGCTTTGATCCAGGAGGTTGGTATAGGGTTTTGGTAAGAGAGTCTGAATTCCCTTACTTTGTTTAGGATGTGAGAGTGTGAGATTTGAAACAGTGAACATGTCAAAGCACATAGGCTGTCATCCATATTCCTCACGAAACCTCTAGATGACCATGTGGAGAACCATTCTTCTCCAATTGTTTCTGCTACTGCCAAAGCTGCATGCGCAACAATAAAACGGAAAGGGATGATTGCTTTGTCATGTGTACGTACAACGAAGCGAGTCCTACAAGGACTCCCAAACTGCGCCACATTCTGCCTTTTGCACACAGTACCTGCCCAGACTGTGCAAACTTGACAAGATTGAACAAGACTTGACAGGACTCGACCGGACTTCATAGGATTTGCAAGCACTTGACAAGGCAAGGCAGGACGGGGCAGGACACGGCGAAGCCGGATGAGGCTGTGTGGCACCGGAAGCAATACTGTACACGAATTGCGTTGGACCTGTGGTGAACACCCCGTCTCAATTCAGGAACAACATCTTATATGGCTCAGTCCGCATTCCACTTGAAGAGCTATGTGACAGCTGATGGGGCCAGTCCGGTCAGACGAACGATCGTGGATACTGAAAGCCAATGGTCAGTTAACCATTGGGGGTTTGGAAAACAGATTTCCACACTTACTGTGTATTGCTCTACGCGACTCGGGCACCGCGGATATTAACACGCTGCCAGATTAGCAGTGTCTGTATAGCTGAGATTAGAACACCGACGGTGGTGATCAAGCCGGAGATTATGTTGATGATTGTGTCGCCATCAGGTTGCCAGTCGTTGTTGGCAAGCAGTCGGTCGATAGGCCTGAAGTTGCACACATCAGACTATCCTAGACTAGCATGTTTCAGGTCAGGTATATCGCTGTCTTCTCCTAGCTAGATAGCAACTCAGCGCAGTATTTCATCGACCCGATAGTCCTACGTTATCGTTTACCGTAGCTATCAGTGTACTACAGCGGACCACGCCGCAACAAACAAGACTCCAGTCGTGTTGACTAGGCCAAATATAATGTTGATGACAAGCAAAGAATGTTTTCAATAAAATGGAAAATGGATGTCGACGAGATCCTGCTTCTGAACATATGATTTTGAAGGTTGTCTTCGAAGGTGGGAAGATTATTTGTGTTTGCTGTGATGCTCTGGGTTCCGGAGATGTTTTCGCATGGTCCTTATGTCATCATGCAGGAGAAATTCGGAGAACGCCCATTCGCACCTGATTGAGCCAGGACGATGGAACGACCAAGCGTTGAAGCCGCATATTAGACGTGCTGCGGTGCTGTACCTTCGTACTTGATGGTCCGACCGAGCAGTGTAGCGGATACGACCAATAGCATCGCGGGCGCCCCGACGGATTCCGCAGGGAAGCAGGCTAAGTGCTTGGGCGGTCTGCTGGGTCTAACAACGATTTTCAGGTACGACCAATGGTCCGAAATCTCCCGCAGCAACAGCAGTCCAGTGGGAAAGGTAGTTGCGCCACTTTGGCAGGTAAACTGCAGTGAACAGGCGCAGCCTGACTGACCGCCCTCGCATGCGCCTCCTGCCAACGTCAACTGGTGCCAATAAGTTGGAATAGACTCGCAAGAACAGAGCACGAGCGAACAAGGCGTGAAGTTTGCGCAAACATCGAAAATAAAGAAGACACTGAAAGAATTGAAAGATTTACGTAAGAACAGTGATCTCGTGTTCAGAAGACTAAGGTGCATTTGAGAGAAACAGCAAGCATCAAGAAGGGTACATCATTGGTATCATTGTTCGTACGTGGCAGTGTGTCCTTCCATTGCACTTACGTTTGCCCATGGAAAGGCTCTTTTCGGTCGTCAGTCGTTGCACAACCTTGTGCTTTCTCACTGCTCCTCTACTGCCGCCAGACCCTCGCCCAACGCCGCACCGTAATGAAAGTATCAATCCATATATGCCGGTTCGCCGTGCCTTTTGTTCGTATCTTTGTTACCTTGAGTTGTTTTTCAACGTCTAGTCGTAGTGCATGAACAGCTGCGACATGCTCTCGCCGTGATGGTTCCTTCGAATCGACTCGGCAAGCAAGTTGTCGACGTTCAAGATGATCAGCTTGTCACCAGCCTGGTCCCTCTTGTGCTCCGGAATCGGAAACGCGTTCGTAATGATGATCTTCTCGATGCACTCGCAATTGTTCATCTCCTCAAGACAGTCCCCACCAAACAGACCGTGTGTAGCCATGCAGTACACTTTTGTAGCGCCACCACGCTTGACAACAGTCTCGGCTGCGGCGATCCAGGATGCTGACTTGTCCATCATATCGTCCACGATGAAAACTGGCCTGTCTTTGACATTGCCAACGAGTGTGACCATTGTCTCAATCTCGGGATTCTGAAGGTCTTCCTCCTCGTCTTCTGAAGACGCTGCTGCATCGTAGGTACCGCCGAGCGCGTGAGCGTGCTCGCTGTCTTGGTTGTCCCTTCTAGAGGAAGTCGTTGACATGAATGAGTTCATCATGTGCGGTGGGATGTCTTCGTTCTCGCCTTCAGACGGGGGACGGTTGCGCCAGGAGGTGGTATGTGATGTTGCGGACATGGACGGCGAGGGATGTGTGTCGTCGACGATGTGACCTTGTACTAGGCGTCCGTGAATGACGTTTCGCGCACGCTATACATATTAGTATCGTCGTCTGTATCTGGTCATCGTAAACATACCTCGTCAGTGTACTCCTCCTCCTCCTCTGCGCCACTTTCGTCCAGACTCTGCTCGCCATCTGCATCTTCTGACTGGTTCGAAGCTTCGGTCCGGACAGGCTCCAGAGGCACTTCCGGCTCGACGATCGAACTTGCCCGCATGGACTTCGAGAGAGGATGTTCGCCAGCAACTCCGTTCGCTCGTCGTGACAGAGGGTTCGATGGTGTGCGTGCTGCTCTAGCTTTCGGCTTGCCAACGTCCGACTTGGGGTCGAAAGAGATCTTGCTGATTGGTGTAAGCTCCGCGTCTGCATCCAGAGCAGCTTCCACCATTTCACGCGACTCCGAGGGGCCGTCAAGCCTCAGCTGGTCGAACATAGCACTCTCATTCCACGGTCTGCCTCCACCTGCTCGTCGCCTATCCGTTGTAACAATGCCAAAGCTGAGCTTCATGGCGTCTGCTAGCGATGTTACTCGCTTTGTTCCACCAGGGTTCTTGCTGACTACGACTGCTTCTCGCCAGTTTGGCACATTCATGCGCACCCAGCGAGCGAGGAGGGGTTCGGCTACGAGGTTGTCGACTGGGCACTTGAAGAAGCCCTGCATCTGCGAGGCGTGCAGGTCGACCGTGATTACGTGGTTGACGCCGGCGATGTGGAGGAGGTTTGCAACCATGCGAGCCGTGATAGCCCCGCGGTGCTGCTTCTTCTTCGACTGGCGCGAGTAAGGGAAGTATGGCATAACCGCTTTGTACTGTCAGTGTCTAGCGGGGTATCTGATAAGAGGTTCAGTACCTGTGACCGACTTTGCAGAGCCACCTTTACAGGCAGAAATCATGATCAGCAGTTCCATGACTGAATCGTTGATTCTGCATGCAATTAGCATGCGCAAGGGATTACATGCCTAACAACGCACTTCTCGCTGCCGCTCTGGATGATAAACACATCTTTGTTTCGAATCGAAGTGTCTGCCAGCAATTAGAACGCGAGAGACGCAGCAGACCAGTAAGCCATACGGATCGTGACAGACGTCTCTCCATTCTTGAACTTGCCCAGCGTCGCAGAGCCAGGCTTCATGCCCAAGCGATCGCACACGCCGTCGACCAGCTTGGGGTGCGACGACCCGCCAAAGACGATGGCGCCGCGCATGGTGGGAGGACCGAGTAAAATAACGTCGTTATAGTGGTCGAATCGCAGTGTTGACCTTTGAGACCTCGTAAATTTTCCCGCCATCGCAGCAACGAAGTCGGCGTGTCGGCGCTCAGAGGCTTGGCGAAGCAGGCGCGGCCCAAAACGGAAAGATCAACCAGGCGAGTCAGGGACACCGCGATCAGATGCAGGGCAGCGTGGATCAGTCGATACGAGTGAATTGCTGATGTCTGAGAATGTTGATAAACATGCAGAATGTCAAAGAACTAGTGCTCCTGCACTTAGGTCATTCTTATGCAAATGTTCGCGTCAATCAAATGTTCTACAAGCACTGGTGTGTTGGCACGCGACCAAAACATAAAGGACTCTAGCCAGTCATGGCTACGCATGAAAGCACGCTGCGCCTTCGTGCGTGTAAAGCGGCTAACGTCCCCGCAATCCAATCACATAGTCGAGTACTACGTCTTCAACACCATCATTCGTATGTCGCCCCGTACTTACTTCATTACTCGTAGATCGAGAAAGGAGCTGTGCAGCTGAACTCCTCTTCAGTCGACCAGCATGAGCATGATCTGGCTCGACACTGCTACCATACACAAAGATTGCTCGGAGAAAGTTGCGTACCACCCTCCAGAATCCCTGTTATCTGTTCAGTAGCGTAGGAGTGCACTAGGTGCGTGTTGTTCCTTTAGAAGACGTTTGAGATCTTGAGGTTGGCTGCGTTCATTTAGCGTGATGACCGGGGGAGAGCTTACTTGCTGAGTAGCAACTTGTTATATCTACTACTAGTGCTCAGAATGAAGAGTCAGCCAGTAGTGTAGTCGGACGCAGAAGGAACTGAAGAGATTGGCGACTAGAAATTGGTCGGCGAAGTCTGTTCCAGGGGCAGTGATCAACTCTAGGGACAGCAACATCCTGGCTGCAGTAGGTATGATCGTCGCGGTACCTGCAGCTACCCTTTCAGTAGGAGATTTGTAAGTATGAGTGGAGGTATGGCTGCCAGGATCCCAGCCACAAGGACTGTTACACATGCTCACCGCCTACCTGGTGTCATAGTTGGCTTCCTTTTTGACATTGTTGAAGTAACGTCCTCGACCAGACTGGAGCCCTACCGATTGGCCACTACATTCTTCATCACCTGGACGTACCTTGCACGTTGAACTGCGACCTCCGAGGTACTCACCGACGTCATTAATGTCCATCTTCATTTCCTAGCTCCATTTGCAGCCTTGCCACAGGTCACGCGAGCTGCAAGGTAGCAATGCGCCAGGTATAATAGAGGCGGATAAGGGAAGGGTCTCGTGGTGCGCAACAATAGAGTGGCCGAATCGTCTGACATGGTCCTTGATCGCCCATGTACCACCATTGACGACCGCTTAGGCCGCGCAAGGCAGAATGCGAGGACTTATCCGCTATATCCCACATATCCATTGCAGTGAACGCCGTAAGCTTGTAAGGCTTCGCTTATAAGGCTAGCGGAGAGACATCCCAATCTGTAGTGCATAGCGTACATACTGCTGCCACTAGCGGGGCCTTCCCGCCTGCCAATGCGCGTCACTGCGGCTTCGTCCGAGAGTCGTATCCCAGAAAGGCACTCAGCTGTAACGCCGAGCCGGGGCTGTCATAAGGAAAGTGACAGAAAACGGCACGTACAACGGTGAATTGGATAAGCAAGCCGACCAGTGACCAGGTCGAGCCCCGGTCGATGTGTTTCCGACTACCCGGTTTGAGGTGATGGATGCCAGAGAGGGTGCGGTTCGGACGTCGTGCCTCGTTAGACGCGATTTTCCACTGACGTTCATAGTCAATCTCACAGTGATCCAGCATCGACGACTCACTATGCGATGGGCGTCTTAACTGGATTTCACCGATCGCGGAGTGAGTCATGACTCCTTTGACTTCTTGGAAATGTGGTCACAAGACGGAGGGCGTTTAAGACCAGATGGTTGAGGTGAAGCAGCGCACATTTGGAAACGAGACCATCGTGCCGACCGCATAACGCGTGCACTTCAATGTCCGCATGGTCCATAGGATAGAGGGTGATGCAACAGTGTCTGACTGCCATGATCTTGGACCCGCAAACCAGGTAACAGGTCGATGGCGGTGGCCCAGGGTTGTTGCATTCGTTCTTGCCCCTGCTAGCGACTGCTATCTTAGGCGGAGCTTTCCAGGAGTGGCACAGACTTTGGTGTGTCGCGTGGGGGGAAAGACAAACAAATTCTTGGCGGTTCATTTGGACTTCCAGATTCAAGAGGATTGGCAGGACAACGTCCAGGGGATGACGCACTTGAATCCATCTGGGGTAGCGCCACAGGCGCCGAGATCACACGGCAGATTCGACAGTAACAGTGATCTCGCATTGGTGGAACCGAGCGCCAGGTTCACAGCGATCCCGTGTAACAAGGTAAGACGAAGCGAGAATCTGTGAACAGACCCTCGAAGAGAGTCTTATGCTGAACATTCGCTATGGCCGTCCAGCCAAGACCATGATTAGTAGTCAACAACAGACATGGTGTCGAATTGGTAATGCCGGTCTCACTACCTGTCCGAGACCAAGTTTTCTTATAGAAAGTATGACCTAAGATCATGTCGCAGGTCAAAAGCTGATGGTGCGCAAATGATGCTCCCTAGAATTTGCCCAGTCGTCAAATGGTGACGTTGAAACACGTAAGGTGGTTGCTGCTGCGAAGCGTACCGGTAGGTATGGAGAGTGGCTCAGCACGAAGGGAACCCAACAAGCCACTGCGTACGCGACTTCTGGAAGTTTTTTCGCGATTCTCAAACGATCATAGCCCGAGCTTCTCCTGAAACCCGGTTCAGGGTATTTGAAATAACCAGTCAAGGATGTAGATCCGGCTTTGGTTGACACAAGCTCTGTTGGACGCGATTCGGCTTATTTGTCTGTTCGTTTCTCGCTTCAAGAGGAGGGTTGCAGAGTGGGCCGTTGGGTCCAGGTATTGAACCAGAAGCAAACACCGCCAAAAGGACAGACGGTGGATCTCCCGCCAGCCTCTTGGTTGATAGTCAAGGAAGGCTTGCCTCTTTGGTAGCAGTATGCGTCTTGCAAGAGCACGCGGAGGCTACAAGTCGGCCTGCTGAGTGGCTCAGGGCAGATCCTCGGCGCTGCTGCAAGACGCCAAAGGCGTTTCATGAGATGAGGCTGCGTGACACCATTCGCCGAGGAGCTGAACCAGGTAGAGGGGACTATCGTGCAGGAGGCGGCAACGAATCTTCTCATCTGCAGCGACTAGCTGCGCGTCTTCCAGAAAGAGCTATAGGCGACAGGAACTGGATTACCTGGGAAGGGAAAACGGACGGCGCAACAAGGATAGTGTCATACCCATCTGTGTAACCATGAGTGTACTGTAGCGATCTTACAACGGCACCGGTACCAAGCCATGTCCACCGCAGGCCGTTGCGTTCAACGAATTATCGGCGTCGCAGAGAGAACCGTTCGACGAGCGACCGAAATCCTGGCCAGGGAAGGTTTCAAGAAGAAGCAAAGAAGACAAGCAGAAAGGTGGAGAAAGAATGGTGTTGGAGGCGTATGCATGACGACGTTTTCGGCAACTTCGTGTACGAGCCGACTGACCGCCTCTACCACGAAGGTCCTGACCAACTCCACTTCTCCCCAGGTCAAGCGCTTGATGGTACAATTGACGCGTCGTTGCTTTTTTGCAAGAGTGGTGAGTCACGGTGATGAAGAAGCAGCGCGAAGGATTCGCGTCTGGCGACGTGATAGGAAAGGTTAGAATTGCTAACCCCGTTTGCGCTAAGCCTCATTAGCTGTAGCCTTTTTGGCAAGTGCGAAGCCCGCAGCAAGAGACAGAGCCCCGTCTCTCTTTCTGGGAAGTCGCAGCAAGAGCCATCATTCGCGACAAGACGCATGCAGCACGGTTGGTGTAACACATAGATTCGGCGGCGCTATGCCTCGAATCATCTCGGAACATTCACATCGCGATGTGCCTTGGACAAGGGTTCGCGACCTAGAGATGCTACCATGCCCGCGGCTGCGGAACAGCCAGCCCGCGTTTGACCAGCTCCACCACGCCGTTTCCTTCGAGAGCCTCATATTGGAGGAGTAGTAGAGGCACATCTCATTCGGCCTTGTTGTGCAACCTCTGGTGTATCTCTTGCTCCATCGGTCTGGCAGCCATCCGCTTTTGAGCATCACAGTCTAGGGCAGCAAGACCGCAAGACGGCTGCACGCTTCTTTCCTGTTGTACACTACCGCAACCTGGTGGACATGGATTCAGATCTGGCAAGCTCGAACTTAGTTCAACATAGTTTGCGAATATCTTGGGATCAGTATAAGACGGACCCAGATCCGCACAATTAGCGTCTTCAGCTTAGCAACAAGCAGTGTTCTCATCATCAGCACAATTCCAAGTCTAGTTCTGTTCCATCTGCAGCATTTGCTTGCTTTTCCACAGCCACGACTAACAGGACCCTTGAGCACCCTCGGTCTTCCGCGCATCCCACGCCCATCTAAAACGCTCCTCCTACCCAAAGCGCTCAGGTAAATCCTCCGCATTCTTCGAGTACATATGTATCTCGTTGGCGCCCCAATTGCCTTTGCTAAGTCAATGCAGCTTCGTCTCTCACTACCATACCCACGACATTCGTTTGAGTCGCTAACACACATCACAATGGCCGCCCCGGTAAACTGCCAGCACTCCTTCAAGGTTGTGAAGTCTGACGAAACCGTCGTCGTCTGGAACTGCAACATGTGCCATTCGGGGCCTCACTCTCTCATCTACGAGTGCGCGAGCTGCAAGCTGAAGACTTGCCGGCCATGTGCCTCGAAAGCATAAGTAAGCCAAAAATTCCTTTCACCTTCCCCTTGACTTTTCGACATGCCAATGCAAGGCTGCAAATACCTGAGACACAACAAGAGATGCGAGCGGCGTTTCATGGATAGATCCTTTGACAGATGCAAGTTCGCGTTGCTGACTCGGTGTGTGCAGACCAACAAGCGCGTGCAGGGGGGATCGACCAACTAGGATCTGATCCGAATACCTGGATCGATCACGCCCGGCTCGCATTCTCACGTTCCATTTCACATCGATCAACGAAACTCCTTTTCCCTACTCCTTCCTTGTACGGCAACATCTATATGTCGGCTCTATCGATTTAGCACGGCGTTTCGGCGGTTCAACATCTGGCGGCCCTCTGATCCAAGGGCGGCAATCTCGAAATGGCCGGCCACTATTACCAGGCGTTATTTGCGACTGCACAAAAGCAAGGGACGTCTACACTGAATTGTTTCAGTCTAGACATGGGCTTTCTGCGACAGCTCTACGGTTCACGAGCTCTTCTCTGTTCATTTCGTGCATGGGTTTTCGGTCTGAGCATTACTGGCTGGGGTTTCTTCGTATCATCTTTTCCCGATCCTCCCGTTTTAGATTCAGGGATGGCCTGCACTTTCGACCTAATGTTTTCCTCTCTCACACATCTCAACCTCATCTGGTACTCTCCATGTACTCTCTCCCGGTTACCAGCGGTAGCCTCTTGTACAAAACTCACATCTATAGTGGGGATGTTCGTTTCATGCATCCAAGGAGGCCCATCTTGGCAACTGAATAGAGAGAAGTTCACATCAACTCAGACCCATCTAGAATAGCTAATCTATCGAAACTGTCGTTCCAGCCGAGGTAGTCAGATCAGACGTCAATTCGAATCGCTCGACCTCTGCGTATGACTCGTTCCGCGTGTTAATGGAAATCCCCTGGCTTAAGCGTCCGCTTTTAATGCCGGCAACGAGATCCGCCTCGATTTGCGCACCGACACCGATTGTAATTCGGCGATCAAAAGAACCTACGCCGCAACTCTGCGTCAACATCCTTCGATTTGCTTGAGCGCAACGCACAATGCTTTGCTCACTACATCAGGGACGTACGCTAGCATTGCGGGTCGAACAGAGGACGACCCAACATCCTAAGAGCCTGCTCAATTCTCTCATGCACAAGGCTACATCGAGTCGCAAAGCGGGGAGGACCAGATTGGCAGTAAGAGCGAGCCGCCTAAACCTCGGAGGTTGCCGTCAGCGAAACGGTAGGATTATGTATCCTGCAGATGCGTGATCGAGCTGAAAGGGTCGTGAATTAACTTCCTAGCGGGCTGTGGGGCTGAAGAAGGCAAACGGTGCAGAACTCTGCATGACGGCAGAACCATTGAGCCACACCATGCTTGATATCGAACCGAGGAAAGCAGTCACTCACAGACACTTGTCAGCACTTGCACATGTTTTGTTGATGCTGTAAGGCTTCGTGCAGGAGCTGACCCCTTTGGCCAAGCCACCCCGCAGCAGGCGCACAAACTGGTGCAGGTGGAACTCGATCACCAAACGCATCCATCGATTCACGAGTCTCCATCGCGATTTGAACGCGTCCGGAGCTATACATCCTGAATACTCTGCGCCGCTTGATATGCCTATGTCTGCTCATGTAACGCCAATGCATACTCAGACCTCACCGGCGCGCTGTCGACGGCTGCGTCTACACTGTCAGCCATGCAGTTTCCCAATCATCTGACGCCTCCATCAGCACACGTGATGCGCTGATCGCTATCAAGGCAGCTCTCTCAGCCGCACGATATTTGAACAGCCAATGAAGGATTTTGGCCCCCATTTCACCTGCATCGTTATAATCAACACTATGCTCGGTGACAGCCTCGCTCACATCTTCACCTCTCGCACTCTTTGATACTGACCAACGAACGGCTACACTCTTCTTCTGACATTCCAAAACCTGGAATTGACGCGCTGGTGAGCAACGAAACGCCCGCTCATGATTAGACGGACTGATGTCGGACGAGTAGTGAACATGAGCTCCGTTACCAGCAACAGCAATGAAACCAGCAATGCTCCCCAAGAGGTCATCAACGAGTTCTGGGAGAACTTGATCACCAAGAAGCCTGGAAAAGTCACCAAGATCTTTCCCTCGTCATTGTATAAAAACCTGCTTCCGCCACCACGCAAACCAGGAATCGTCAAAGGACAAAACGCGGCTGAATCCTACGAGACGGCAGCAAAAGAATGCCGGGATCGTGTCAAGCGCATTATACGGGAATGCCAACGGACGAATGAAAAATTTACGGACCCAGACTTCGACATCACAGATCGAGAAAGCAACTGTCTCGATGGCTTGAAGCAATGGTTTGAAGATCCCGAACCCACATCATCAACAACGACAGTCAGCCCCGCAAGTCTGGGGTATGCCCTAAACACGATAATCCAGGCAAAGGTACTACCTGAGGATGTTGCGTCCTTCTCATTGAATAACACTGCCAATGTGCTCTTTAACATGAGGCCCAGTTATCAAGGTGATGGCCCAGGATCAAAGCACCGCATCGACTGGATCTTCGAGGACCCTAAGTTCGAAATTGATGGTTTTACCAGCAGCGACGTCGTGCAAGGTGCCAATGGCGACTGCTGGTTCATTGCAGCAGTTGCAACGATCTGCAGTAATCCAGAGTTGATCGAGAAAGTTTGTGTCGAGAGAAACGAAGAGTGTGGCGTGTACGGCTTCGTGTTCTACCGAGACGGCGATTGGATCTGGACAGTAGTTGACGATAACTTGTTCCTTTCCAAGAAAGACTTCGATGCCCGCGGAGATACTTACGACCCCACCGGCATCAAGGAGACGAGATACAAGAAGAGCAATCAGACCGGCTCGGAAGCACTCTACTTTGCTTCGTGTGCCCACGAGAACGAGACTTGGCTGCCTCTGCTTGAGAAAGCTTACGCAAAGGTGCACGGCGATTATAACGCCATCAGCGGAGGAATCTCCGGCGAAGCGGTTGAAGACCTTACAGGTGGCGTGACGAGCAAGATCTTGACAGATCGCATCCTTAGCAAGGAGCGCTTGTGGGAAGAGCTCAAAGAGGTCAACAAAGGCTTCCTCTTCTCTGCATCGTCACCAGGATCATACGGCGATGATTCTGATGCTAGACGAGGCCTAGCACTCAGTCATGCTTACTCAGTCATCAAGGCTGTTGAAGTAGACAGTGAGGACAAGAAGAAGAAGCATAGGCTCGTTCTGATCAGGTTCGTAGTAGTTGTTCTTGTCTGGATCCAATGGCTGACACAATCAGAAACCCTTGGGGTAAGCGAGCCAATGCAGCGATGGGTGAGTGGACAGGACCCTGGTCAGATGGGTCGAGCGAGTGGACTCCTTATTGGCTGGAGACACTCAAGCATAAATTCGGCGATGACGGTCTCTTTTGGATGTCGTACGATGATCTGCTCAAGCGTTTCGATTTGCTTGATCGCACACGACTATTCGACCACAACTGGACTGTCGTGCAGCAGTGGACTAGCGTGTCAGTAGGATGGGTCACTGGGTTCTTGAACACCAAATTCTCCGTAGAGGTCAAGAAGAAGGGACGGACCGTGTTCCAACTCTGTCAGGTAAGTGATAGTGTTTTCTGGAGGTACACAGATCCTGACCTTAGCAGCTTGACGATCGATACTTCCGCGGTCTCGAGGGCAAGTACCAGTTCGATCTGCATTTCATACTGCAGGAGAAAGGTGCCGAGGGTGGCGACTACATCGTTCGCGCCCGTGGCGCTTGGTTTGGCAATCGCAGCATCTCAGCAGAGGTTGATCTTGAGCCTGGTGTCTACGAAGTACTGCCCAAGATCGAAGCGGAGCGGGATGCCGAAGCCCCAGACGTACATGAAGTGGTCACAAAGGTAGCCGAGCGCAACCCACAGAAGCTGAGGCAGATCGGAATGAACTACGACCTTGCGAATGCTAAGGGCCTCGCCGAGCTTACCGAGGAAGAGCAGAAACAAAAAGAACAGAAGAAGAAAGAAGCAGCAGAGAAAAAGAGAAAGGAAAAAGAGGCTGCAGATAAGGAGAAAGCAGACTTTGAAGCGTGGAAGAAGGAAGGGAAAGAAGAGTATGAAGCATGGAAGAAGGAGAAGAATAAGCTCGAAGATAACACCGGCGCCAAGAAAGATGATCCTCAGACTGTCGATACCAAGCCTGCCGCATCGGAGAAAGCTTTGGATGCCTCCACAAGTGCTGCTGAAGACAAAGAAGGCAAGCCGACTACAAGCGACAACAAAAGCAATGACACAACGACAGCTGAAGGCGCAACGCTCGGAGCAACGGAAATAAAGTCAGCAAACACCACTTCGGAAGCTGAGCTTGTCACCAAGACAGCAGGTCTCAAGGTAGACGATGAAAACTCGCTTAGTGATGGCGACGAAGCAGAACATACACCTTTCGAAGGCCCTGAAATCCACAGCCGTGCCTCATCACGGCCAGTGTCCCGCGGGAGGCGTCTTCCCCCTTACAGGTATGGCCATGCCCTTCGCAGCTACTACGGAGATGAGCCACCACAGGAGGCTAGCCCGCGCGCGCGCTCACCTGTGGACAACAAGCCAAAGGCTTGGAATGCAGTCTGCGTTCTGGGTCTAAGAGTTTACAGCCAGGACCGGGAAGTCAGTATTAAACTAGTCAAGCCAAAGACCGTCGAAGAAGGCGCGATCTTGGATGTCGATGGAAATACCGCCGCAGGAGCTACAATGTGAACGAACTGTAGGGTTTCTTTGTGTTGACACGAACGTTCAGACGCAACATCTGTACAATACAACTCTCGAATACGCCGTATTATGTATTGTATGTGTATCTTGGTAAGCGTGAGTGCACGTGGACTAGACTGGATGGGTGGCAGCTTCTCGTTCTACGATCTCGCCTTCCTCGTAGTAAACGAGTGCACTGACAAGCCCAGACATGCCTCAGATTCGAACCCCAATCCTTATGGGTCTTCTATCAATGCACACTGCCCATCAGCTGCACATCCATCGTTACAAGCCATATACTTACATATGTCGCGTAGCGAGCCAGACGAAATTGACACACGATACTACCGATACAGTCATTCGCTATCCATTCTTACTGGAACACACGCCTACGATCGATCACTCTGCAAACATCTAGCCACAGTGCCGGTCACAATAACTTCGAAGCATCATGGCGACCGGACATGGCTCTACTAATTCGATGGCCGAGACAAGATCAAGCCAGACGCGCTAGACGCGCCGCAAATCAGACAGCCCAGACAGGACTCTAATGTCGACTTCAGCACAATGGCAGATGCGATACATTACGAGACTATCGGAACACTTTTCGCATCACAAGGGATAGCAGCCAGTGCTCCACAAGAGACGATGGATATGGAACGGGCGAGGCAGACTGGACCGGAGTCTTCAATCTTCGCCATTCATGATGCGCACGCGAGGCAAAGGAGGGATGCGGCAAGTAATTTGGCTACTGACTTACAGAAATGGCTGGATGGGTTCGATCTGCCTCAAGCATATGCCGATCGCCGCAAGAACTCCGCCGCTGAACACGCTGGAATACCTCCACGCAAACTTTCACTTAGCGTCCACGCAGCAGATTATATATCGACAGAACTATCTGCTCAAGCTTCAGCTGTGCGCCACAACGAGTCCACCGGCACTGATGCAGTGGCACCAGATCACCCGGCTCCGCTCGGGGACAAAGAAAGCGACGACAACCTTCAAAACGAGCGCTTGAATCTTGTGTTATTCAACGCATTCCCAATGTCGCCGGTTGAACGTACACCCGAGTGGGGAGAAAGACAACGTGTGCGAGAAGAGTACGACGCCATCGAACGTGCACGCGCAAATCTTATTGACCAGGAGAACGCGATGATAGAAACGCGAAAAAGATGGCTCGAGGAAAATATCAGACGGTGGGGAGTTGACCAACGGCAACTAAGGGCCAAGGAAAAGCGTAGAGGGATGGCTATCAATATTGTTCTGTTCGACGCGCTCGCTTACAATGACGGCCCTATCGAGGGCACGAGGCCGATGTTGGATCCTGCCATCGATAGGGACAAGGACTATGACTATATCAAGGAATTGAGTTATAATGGCTTTCTCCTGGGTGTTGCAGAGGAACAGATGGTCAAAGACACGAACATGTACATGATCCCAGAACCATGGTACATGGGACATCGCCCCCGTCACAGACAACCTATCCTAGAGGAGGACTACATCGAACGATACCTGAGACAAGAAGCAAGGCTGATTCCTCTCATTGATCAACGCCTCGACTACCTCCGGAAAGGGAAGTCTGCGCAGAGTGAAGCTGATATCGTTGCTGAGATCAAGGGTCTAGAGCGAACTTTATTGGTGCACAAGGGCGGCGAAAGCAACAATGTGATACTTGTACAGCGTCTCTTGAAAGAGGCCGCCTATTGTATGGAGGTGGAACAAAACGCAGGTACGCATGACACACTCCGGCGTCACGGCACGCCAGTTACAGACCACGTACCGCCGTTCATGAAGCAGTTCATCAGGAGCTTTCCACGGCTCTTAGAGCGCTTTCATATCCTCCAAGAAACAGAAAAAAGGTATTTTCCCGAGCGCTTCGAGCCCAGGCGTCGACCTCAGCCTCAACCTCAATGTACGCCTAGTGGGCGGCAGATTCCAATGCGACAGCCTCAACCATCAAACATTCAGCCAAAGGATGGTTCAACACAAGAAGATGATCGCTCAGTGATGGAAGACTTTGGCTATCCGCTCGAACGCGTCGACAGCCCCAGTTATGACCCACGCTTTCAGTACGACCCACGATCATATCGCACGCTACCGCGATCATTCAGGACAAAAACATTCAAGAAAAAGACAAAAATATGGGGAACATCAAAGTTGGCAGTTCTACTCAGCAGGGATGGTGATGCTGATTTCGCAGTGCCAATCCTTGACCGACTGATGGAACCAACTTCATTGTCAAACGATCCTGAAACAGGGAATCTTCAGCGCCCAAAATTCAGATTGAACATACCAGTACGCATGTCGTCTTTCGACAGACCAGGTGTTTACATACCTCCACAACCCCATTTCCAGTTAAAGAAGCCAGCAACGGAACGCATAAAGAAGCGATTTGTCGATAAAGAGGGCCTCGATGCCGATCGTAAGTGCCCCTCGTCTTGCTGTGGGTCTTAAGAGATGTAATAATGCTGAATGTGTCATACAGAGCGTGCGTTCACAAGACTCAATCATGCGAGAGACTGGTTGTCGTTAGCACAAGACAAACGTCACCGAGGACTTCAAGAACCCTTGATGCCAGACAATATCGACAAGGCTGTGGAGCGCCATCGGACAGAAGATCTCAAGGATTTACAGCGGCGTCATGACTCAATAGAAAGTGAAGGTATGTCGGCTCAACATCCTGAACAAGGAAAGTGTATAAACTCATATGTGAGAACAGTTCTACAGAACTATATCAATCTTATGAACCAGTTCAAAGCACTTTATTATGAAGACGTCGATTCATTTATTGGTGAAGAGGACGCCGAAGACACCGGAGATGATGAGAGCAGTGGGAGAACTCTCCGGGTTGTGAACCCTGATCCTCCGGAAGATTTTGAACAGACAGGGGACGCTGGGGCTATCCGGGAACGCAAAGTTCTCTACGATGTCGATCGTGTTGGAAACATCAGATACTCCGAAACACTCGAAGACAACGAGACATTTCTTCGCGTTGTCCATGTCCGAACTGAGAATGTCGGAAGCACTGTGGACCTTGACCCAGCACACCTGGTCGAAAACATTGAAGATATTGATCGTGTCGAGAACCCTGGAGATACCTTCGATCTCCCGAGGATGTTAGATACCTCGAAACACTTGAGGATAATGAGACGTTCCTGCGCGTTGTTCACGTTGGCCAAATTGACAACATCGGAAACTGTGGAAGGGTTGAGAGTATTGATTGGTGTGTATTGCTATGGCGAGGATCGATCGGGACTATATAGTAGAAGGGGATAGCAGTGAAGCAAACCGAACTAACCGAATGAGCTGGACTATCAGTGCAGCGGGCCGTTGGCAAACACTGCAACGGACCGCTAGCGAACAGAAACCCCGTAGATATCGACCGAACTTCTTTGCTCGAGCACATCGAAAACGTTGGAATTACTGGGAACCTGGCGAAGCCTGGAGGCTATCCCGCAATAAATCTGGAAGTATCCGCTAATACGTACGAGCAGACCCAATGCCGCTGCCACAGAGTGTGCCGGGAGAACAAGGTCGACGTCACTGTCACCGAGATTGAGATTTCTAACTCCGAAGATGAGGCAAATGGCCAAGCACCAGCGCGACTGATCGAACCTGCGGAGCGTTCGCCAAGCAGAGCGCAAGAATCTTTTACGAATGAGGTCGAAGTCATGGTCACGGAGGTTGAGAGCTCTGACGGCGAAGACGAGGAGAGTGATCAAGCATCAGCGCAATAGGTTGAGCTGGTGGAGCATCCCAGGCACACGGTACAACTGTTTGCCAGCGGTCCGCTGCACTGATTGATCAGCTCATTCGGTCAGTTCGGTTTGCTTCCCCACCCTTTCACTGCTATTCCCTTCTACTGTAGTTTCGATCGATCCCCGCCATAGCTCTTAAGACCAATTAACCACAACATAAACACTTCAGCCATCACAACTCTTCCACAACAACAGATCATCGAGAATGAAGCCTGAGCTGACAGTCAAGGAGATTGAAGGCTATGATGCGGAAGATGAGGAAAGTAGCATACGGGCCTTGAGTGGGAAGAAGCGAAACGCGCATGCCTCATAGTACTGAGCCGTCTGATGCTGTATCAAATCATAGAGGATGCCAGTGTAGACCGGTATCATCTGGTATTGCAATAGATACCTGCTGGAGGCCGCTAAAGAGCCAGATGCATCTAATCTATCCATCATCATATGCGGCCGAAATTTCTGAGGATCTGTAGTTCCAACTAATCGTTCTCCTTCGAGGATTGCCCTGGTGTCTTCGTCGACGGCATCGTCCAACCCTCCATGATGGATCCACCTACATCTGCAGCCCACTTGACGCCCTCCCGGGCCATCCAGCGCCTGCGAAACTCCGCGCTGACATTCTTAGTCATCACTGCTCGTTTCGATTCTGTGATGTGGATAGCCGGGACGAACTTCTCGAACGTTTCTCCCGGCGGTATCAGGTGTTGCGTTCCTTGCTTAAACCTGGTGTACCAGTCCAAGTACAGGTTGGAACTACCTAGGGTAGCGTCTTTCTAGGCTTACTCGAAAGCGAGTGGGAGGAAGCCGGCATCTCCCAATCGAGGACCGTACTGAGGCCTTGAAGTAAGGTTGTCAGACTGTTTATATCTGTCCGCGCAGGTCCTGCGCTCTTATTGGCCAGCTCGTTCGTTAGCTCCCGCCCATGATGTAGATATTCTCGCTCTCCGGTAGTACTCAATCGACGGTTCACATAACATATCAATGTCGTACCAGTACATTGCGAGGTCAGTGTCGTTATGTAAGAGGGCAGTCATTCGTTGGATGATCTGCAGGTCTTCCTCTGATAAAAAGACGTCTGGTAGTCGGGGAGAGCGGACCGAATGTGTATGCCATTATCAGCTCTCTCAACGGAAGACGTAGGATCACTTGGGTCCTGATGTTTGGCGATAGACATCGTCAGAAACTCGTCTTTTGAATTGCCGTGTCTGGGTTACCCGAGAAAGCTGTGCTTGTTCGTGTCCAGGAAGGTTGTACCACACAGCAGAATCTGCACACGCTCGTCTCAAAAGCATAATTTCTGAAGCCATTCGACGACACTGGCCATGCCACTGGCCAACTTCGACATTTGCGAGCCTAACAGCTCGAGCCAGAGTGACTCTAGCGCTACGGTGTCTGCTACGTATTGACTGACCGTATACTCGACACACTCTCCCTTTGATGTTGCCCATATGCCCACGGCGCACGTCGCAGGGCATCTGGCCTCACCCTGAATGGGCTCTCGTTCATGCAAAGAGCTTTGATATCCCGCTCTTTGTGGCTGGTCATGAGCAGATGCATCTTGTGAAGCTACCACCTAGGCCACTGTCTCAAGCATGGCCATTAGTCCTTGGCGTTGTGTACATTCATTAAGCGCATCAAGGATGACGTAGACGCGCATGAACTGTTGCATCACCTGCGGTGTGACCTCCAGAAGTGCATGTAGTGATGGCTGTCATTGTCCGTTGTTGCAAGCTGAGAACAATGCATCAATGCCCTTGGATATCGTAGGCAATCGCTGCAAGAGCTGACAGAGCAATGAGCAGAGCATCAGCTCTGGGTCCTGTTTCTGTGTGTCGTTGAAGTCGAAGTAGAAGTATGCCGTCACCATACTAGCGTTGTCATGGCAGTGCTGCAGCAGATGCTCGATAATGGTAGAGCTCAAGATGGTCTCTCAGCATCCTGGAATCCCGTACAGCCATAGTCGCGATCCTGCACGCTCTCTCCATTCTGTGAACTTTGGACCATCCAGCAACTAGAGTCCAGTCAGTCTCGGCCTGCCGCTGCTTGTGCGCTTTGTGGTAGTTGGTAGATGGGTCAGGCGGCGAAAGCCAGCTGCAGATCTTGCCAAGCCTCTTCTTGGCCTTGCCTACGAGCCTCAGTACTGTTTGTGAGAGTACTTGCGTCGTCCTCGGAAGCCTCCTTTATCTTCCTCTTCAGTCGCTTCAATGCCTTCTATTTGCCTTCGCCATAGATCAAGGGTAGATGGATATCAAATATGCCTAGCAAACAATATGCACCATCTTCTCGAAGTGTCGTCTCGTGATCGCCTGCCCAAGAGAACCGCTCAGCTACGCTGTGCTCGGACATTTGCTTTCCTGACAAAGCATCGAGAGGTATTCCTGTGAGCTTGTGGATGATGTGTCCAAGTGACTCCTCGTCCCCTTGCCGCGCTCCTTCTTTAGAGAAGATTTCGACCGATCTAGGAGCCAGAAGCTCCTGAAGCATCCAGCCTCGGGTAAACCATCTGCTTCGCTTGAAAGCCGACGCGCCCTCGCCATCTAAGATGTTGTTGTTCTCAGCGTCCGATAGGTAGGCATAACACCTCGCTGCGTTCTGATACCAGCGAAACATAGAGCTGATCGCTTCCGATAGCTCTGTATTGTTTGCCTTGACGATGCAGCAGGTGTCTACCCAGAAGTGGTCCAGACCATCGCGCTTAGCTTGGTGAGCGCAGAAGAAAATCTTTTGATAACCACCCTTGAGCTCTGCCTCAACATCCTTTATGTCTTTATGTTTCTGAAGATCCTTATAGGCCACCTGCTCCCCCCAGGTGTGTGACAGGATCGCATAGGGAGGAACTTAATTGCCAATCAAGTCGTCAATCCAGCTGAGCCTCCCATCGCTTCCAGGGTATAGCAGCCGCATAGAGTCATATGCACGTCTATGTGCGTGAGCGGTAGAAGAAGGACTAGGAGCTTCAAAGCAGGGTGGAGGAGTCGATGGCGTACGGCGGCTCGCTTGCGTAGGACGTAGAGATCGTACAATATATCTGTCGAATTCGTTGTAAGTGCTAAGCGGTGGGCTGCTAAATCAGAGGTCAAGAAAGCAGTCGTCATGTGCTACAGTGCAGAAGGCTGTTTGTTGAGGCAGGCTGCGGTTTCAACACCCAGAGTGGGAGGCGCAACCTGCCTGCCGGGTGATGCGAGGCTGGCCGAGCAGGCCTCACAACACATGATCGCGTGATATTGCATTGATACAAAGCAGGGAGGCAGCCTTCTCTGAGGGTGCGATGCGGTGGTGCAGAAAACGCGACAAGTTACAAACTACGTTGGATGCTCGTGTAGCGTGCTAGTTGCGCAAGGACATGCTGGCGTCAGGGACTCCGTATCGCTCTCCCGCTGCGGGCCGGCAAGCAAGCGATGACAGATGTCACCCTCTCTGCAGACCGTCTCGAGCGATGCATCCAGCTGAGGCTAGCATGTTGTTTCAGCCTGCACGACAGAATGTGCCCAGCATACTGTTGATGGCTCTTATTCAACGAAAATCAATGCGGTAAAGATCGCTGATGGCATGCGCCACATTTTACGAGGTTGCTTTATAGGGTAAGCATAGCGCTGATTTAATTACAGTAAAATACAAGCAGCTCGCAGATGCACTAATGCAGGCCAGGCTTTCTTAGCGTATTCCGCCAACTCAGGTCTTGCTGCAGGGTTCTCCTTCCCACTCTTTGGGGCTTTCCACGAGCTCACTCCCACGTTCAAGTGATCCTGAAAGCCCGGGAACATATTCTTTGTGAACCGCTCTCCCTCCCAAGGCCTCCAGTTTCCAGAGAAACTCTCAAAGTTGTGAGTAGACAAAGGGGGAACGCTGAAGGGTCGTCAACAAAATGATGGACAACACGACCAGCACTGCAGAGATCCCAGCCAGAGCCTGCTAACCTGAAGGAGGACTGGGCCATAAACGTCCTATACGAACAACAGCTCTATGGTCTTTCCCAACAAAGACGCCGAAGGTCAGAACCAACCTGTCTCGGGACATGGTGTGTCTCGCTACTTAGGGACGCACCTTACAGAAGGCAGAGGAACTTAAAAGAGCAGATATGGCTGAGCTGAGGCATGCTAATAGACTAAAAAACGAGAAGATTGCACAGGAGAGGCGCAAACAGAGGTTGAGGGAGAAGGAAGAGCATAAGCAGCTGAAGGCTGAGAAGGCCAAGGAAGCTGCCGAGTGTAAGGCAAAAAGAGAGCGTGTTAAGCATGCTCGCAACGCACAAAAAGCTCTACAATTGCCTTAAACAAGCAAACGCAAGGTCTCACAGCAACAAGGAGCCAGAAGGAAGCGAGGGCCAGATCAAATCAGCGGTTTGCAAGGTTAGATTCATCGATTTCATTGATCGAGAACTGCTGAGGAATCCGAGTAATCAACAGAAGTTGCGGTGCTGTCAGCGCGTCTTGAACACGCTGGAGGCGTCGCTTGAATGCATGTTCACTTCTCTTTGAATTCAAGATATCGGAGACACACTTCCTGATATCCTCTGGCTTTCTGCTTCTTTGCATTTGTTGTTGAGTCGCTGTTGGTCCCCTTAGTCGAGCGTAGGCGGAACCCGCCTTGCAGGAAAATTTGCTTCGTAGGCTGACATTGCCCTAATAACCATTGGTTCATCATACCGCCTACCAACAAAAGACATACCGTAAGGTAAGTTTATCTCATCATAACCAACAGGGACATTGCCCACAGGACAACGACCGATGGCGCCCAGTCGAGCTGATGAGCCTTCGGTTGGAACAAGCAGCAAGTCAATGGTGTACTCCCGAAAGGCATACTCGATGCCTTCTTCGTTGAGCCGCTGCTGCAACCACTTCGCATACCAGTAGTCGCCAGAGGTGTTGCGTGGACCCAGCTGGTCAGCTGCAAGGAAAGTGTCTTGACAGCACTTTCCGGGCGGGAACTCAAGGTCCACATTGCGTTCGTTGAAGCTGATGATGTCATATAGCGTTCGAATATGCGAAGAATTAGCTAATTCAGTGGTCAGGTAAATTTCCATGTCCTCTTTAACATCGTACTGAACAACAACAGTTCCGTTGTTTGTCCGTGTAGCTTGGCCGACGAAGCTGTACTTCCAGTCTTTTGCGTTTGGGAATTCGATAGGGTCGATGATGGTTGCACCGAGACTACGCATCTTTTCGAAAGTTGCCTCGAGGCCGGCATTGATGGTAGATCTGTAGCCTTGGTATGTCTGGTTCCAGAACGGTTCTCTTGGTATACCGATTCGCAGACCCTGGAAACCATCTGGGTTTAAAAACTGGGTGTAGTTTTTATGTCGAAAAGGGTTTGCTGCTGCAGAGTAAGCATCCTCGTCGTCGTGTACAGCCATGATCTCGAACAAGGCAGCGATATCCCAGACCGACTTCGCCATCGGTCCTGTCGTATCTTGCGACGAGGAAATGGGGACGACTCCAACCCGACTAGTGATACCAGTGGAGGGACGAAGACCGTACAAGGCTGCTCGGTTTGACGGGCTGACGATACTTGCTTCAGTATCGGTACCAAGAGCTGCTGCTGCAAAGCCTGCCGATACGGCGACCGCCGAACCAGAGGAGCTGCCACTAGGGTCGCCGCCAGCATTGAAGCCGCCAATCACGTATGCCGACTGGCACTGGCCACCTCTGGCGCTCCACGCAGAAGAGTTGTAACGGCCCATCTCGCCGGCCCACTTCCTGATCAGCTTATGAGTGGATAGTAAAGTATCATGATCGTACCTCTTGCAAATTGGCCTTGCCCAGCATGAGTACACCAGCATCCCGAAGCCTACTAATCACGAAAGCATCTCGTCGGACTTCGGTGCCCAGCAATGCATATGAGCCAGCGGTTGTGTTCATACCAAGCTCTTTGGCAGTATTGAAATTGTCCTTCACAACAATTGGAACACCGTGCAGAATGCTTCTGATCGTCCCATTCGCGCGTTCGGCATCAAGTCGAGCTGCAACTTCTCGTGCACTTGGGGCGATCTCGATCATGGAACGGAGATTTAGTCCTGGAGATAGTCAGTACCCACAAGATCATACAAGCACAAAGCATACCTTGATGGTCGTTTGCTTCGATACGCGCAATGTACGCGTCAACCAACTGCAAGGTTGTTACATTGCCTGCCTCTAGCGCTGCCGCTACCTCCTCGGCAGAAGCGGAGAGCAAGTTGATGCCACTGATTGTGACAGGATACTGGGTCATGGAGCCCTTAGTCGAGTAAGTTGCGTTGCGTACAGCAAAAGCTGCTGCGGCGTAAAATGTATGCAGCAAGACAAAGGACTTCATGCTGGCGGAGATAGTTGTTGAGTTGAGCTCTCGACAGGGAAACCGAACATCTCACTATGTATGTACATTCAATATCCAGAAAAATCTCTCCACGATATGCACTGCGATCATCCAGTCATTCTTGGCAAGATTGCCGTCAATCATCGAAGAGGCGTGTGACTCCATAGACTTACTCTTCCACAGGCCGGAAGCCTATCCGATAATGTGTTAGAGGACCACTGACACGTCATTGTATATGTTGATAACTCGATCACTCACATACTCACAGATGCCGAACTAGATGCCGTTGTAGACTTCTGGGTCATTGATGGGACCGTTGGCAATGTGCCGCACTCCCGCTACTTGCAAAGATGACTGACGAACGTAGACTGACACATATTGTCATTTACGATCAAGCTGAGACAGAAACTCTGATAAGCTAACGTCTGGCTATCTATCCGCCCGATCGCAATCTTGAAGATTCTCAGCGTTTGCACAAATCACGGCCATGCCATATTGCCAGCAACGTGGGAATACTGGTCCCTGACTGAGCGCTTAGGCTCATTCGAGGCCGGCTTCTACGCCATCCCTTGGTATCAAATGCTCTGAAGGCAAGCCGCAAGACATCGTCTTATCTTGGGAGCAGTCTCGTGCCGTCGGCATCTGTCGGCATCTGTCGGCATCTGTCGGCATCTGTCGGCATCTGTCGGCATTGTCGACGTTATCGGCACACCATGCACTTTACCTATGATTTGAGCCGGTGAGAGCCTTATCGTGGATCCAATTGACCAAACTAACGTCAGTATCAGTATTCCGAGCGCCCACAGCTTTGGCGATGAACACATTGCACCCACAAGTAGGGTGAGAGGCACAACGTGGCAGACTTATATGGAAAGCCGTTGTAGTTCGATATTGCAGTCCTTTTGCCTGATTGACGACATGCTTGATAACAACACTTTTTGATAGTTATACAAACTACACCAAAAATCAAGTCTACTGGATATAGATAATCGTTCAATGTCTAATGAGACATAAGCCAAGATGAAAGCTACTCCACCTCTTGCTTTGCTGCTCAGCATCGCCGTTGCGGCCCCTACTTCCAGATCTACGCCAGACTACAGCAGACTCACTGTCGCCATAGTCCGTGCAGAAACAGCAAGCTGGCCCATGCCATTGATGAACAAGAAATGGACTGACGTACAGTTTACCTTGAATGCTACCATTGCCAAAGGTATAAAGCTTATCGAAGAAGCGGCCAGTAATGGCGCAAACCTCGTCGTCTTCCCCGAACTATGGTTTCCAGGGTATGACACGCTGAATACCTCAAGAAACTTTTCCTACTGATCCAGATTGCAAGATACCCCAAAGGTATAGCAGACCCTCGATCCATCGCTCCCCTACTCGCGAACTACATCGACGACTTCCTCACGATCAACTCCGCCCACTGGCGCATCCTTATCCATACAGCCGCCACTAGGAACATCTACATCGCTCCCGCCTTCTCACACCTTGAGAACGGCGTCTTGTACATGGGTCAAGCTCTCATCTCTTCCAACAGCACTTCTTTCATCCGCCACAAACTGCGGCCCAGCGGGAAAGAGCGAGACATATGGTCAGATGGTACAATGGACTAGTTGAAAGTTATCGCCGCGCTGTATGGTCGATGGGGAATCCTGGAGTGCTGGGAGCACTTTCATCCTAGTATGACGTTTAGTATGCAGAGTCAGGCTGAGACGCTGCATCCTACTGCTTGGCCCTGTACGTCTCCTCATTCGGCCACGGTCTGGATTTGAGTTAGTGCTGATAACGAACATAGATACACCGGATATTGCCGACCCTAGAGCCGCATACTGGGAGTCCCTCGAAATGAACCTTGCAGTCGCTCGCGTGTTCGCTGTCAACGCCAATCCACCACTCGTTTTTGCTTCGGTCGGTAATGCGCGATTCCTTGATCCTCAGGATCTGGATCTCGCCATCGTTGAGGCAGAAACAAGTACAGAGGAGGTGCCGCTCGTGTACCAATCATTCAACACTACTGATCTTGCTATGACGGTGCCATATACAACGCATAGCGAGCAGAGTTGGAGTATTTTGTAGCAGATGGTCGATGGATTTCCCAATTATATTCTGGAGGTCTCAGGAAGCCTTGTACCGAGGCAAACACGTTCGATTATGAATCTGCTGGAACCGACCAGGTAAAATCCATTGTCGGCTTCATGCAAGCTGTGCTGGAAGGCAGACTGAACGCATCATATTCGTCAAGCTGGATACGGCGATGGTATAGCAAATGCCGTCGAATTAAGAAGTGTTGGTCTGCAACCTTAGGCGTGCTCTTCTGAACCAAGAAAACTATGTTGTCCCAGCTTATCGAACACCTACAGCAAGTTGGCTATCTAGGTAAGGCAGATCTAAGTTACGTCTTCTGGCAATATCCACACGAACATGCGATATAAGGACGACTTGCCTACTTAAATTTATACATGTCATATTGGGGCTCCGCAGATTGTCGAAAAGTACGAGTGTTCACCTTTCTTGCGCGCATGGGGCGTTGCTGTGAAACCTTCACTAGCGGACTGTGTTTCGACAGTGATCAATGCTTGTGTTGTGAGAGTGGAATGACTAAAAAAAGTAGGGAACAAAGGGGGTGTTCCGTACAGTTGGTTGCGTGGTAACCGTTTTTCGCAAACAGTCTATCTAGAACAACTTGTATTAGTAAGGTGCATGGGTCATGCCCTCATGTTGCACTGTTGCTGCGGCATGTCCGTTAGCCGCAGGACCAGAAGGATAGATGCGCCGGGCGAGGAGGACAAAGTGGAAGAGCGCCGATATGTTCACATTTGCGATTTGCTGAATGTAGACGTCGCTGAGGCAGTGCTGCCGCCGCCGTGGTTTCCTCTCCGGCCAATGCTTTCAGGACACTGTTGCAAACTTTGATGTAGGCACAGAAATGTTGGAATACGAGTTAAGAAGGGTTACCGTAATTACTATCCAAATATATAATTCTTTCGTAGTTATCTAAGCAGAGATTGGATAGACACGTTTCTCTTTGGCACCAAACTGCCCTCCACAGCGGGGATGTACTTCGGGAAAGCATCGGATATTTGCTGCAAAACACCCCATGAGACTTGAGAGTCGGAATCGTAGGTCTTCGAGGTATTGAACCCAGTCGTGTCAAGGCTATGATAGAGCATAGGAAACTCATCGAAGCTAGCATTGGCGCTGATGGATGCCACAACCTGAGCTAGAGGATCAACAACGAAACTGTGTCCAATAGCGGAAACGAAGCTATACGCTCCCGCCAAGTTGGAATAAAGGCCCACCGCGCCGGTGTTAGCCTGCGCGCCTTCCCACCAGAGATATTTGTCGTCACCAACGTCGCCCATGTACGGGAATGCCCCGAGATGAAAATTTTCCGTTTGTGCTTGCATAGCAAACGTCATACTCGGGTACCAATGTTCTCCGCATTCAAGCATGCCAACCCTTCCATATGAAGAGGTGATGACCTTGAGCTGGTCGATTGTACCATCGCTGAAAATATCGCGTTCGACACCTGAGGGTCGCAGCTTGTGACGGAAGATGAGTTCATCCCCGGAAGGCGAGATCAGGGCTTGAGCCATGAATAGATTATCTCCGAGCTTCTGTGCGATGGTGAGGCCGGCATAGATTTCAGCGCCTTTGATAGCATCGATTAATCGATTCCATTCTGGTCCTCCAACCACCATGGCATTTTCAATGTATGCAGGCAGATGTGTGGATGTCCAATTATTGTATTCGGAACCTTTGGGGAACCTGCGAAAAGAGGCCAAGCTGTCAGCGCACACCATCCAGTGCTATCATCACTTTAAGATTTCGATTTGATTTTACTCACCCTGGAAACCATAGCTCAGGGAACACTATCCAGTTCGCCCCATTGTCCTTAGCTTCATTGATGTAACGAATTCCCGCATCAACTGAGCTGGTCAAGTTTGGTTTTGTTGTACCCCAGTTGTATTCAAGGATTGGCAAAGGCCAGTCCGGTGGCGGTACCCTCACAAGCGCAACCGTGAGATTGGTGTTGTTGCTGGCAGCCTGAGCTGAAGAAAAGTAGATAAGACTGGCAAGGAGTATTCTAACGTGAAACATGACGAAGAACATGACAGATTTTGGATTGTCGAGGCTGGTTGTTGTGGTACGCTTTGAAAATCCAGCTCCCTCACGTACTTATAAGTACATCGTCTGGCCCCGAAGATTGGCAGATGACAAACAGTGCTGATCGTTATTAGTCGTGGATTGTGAAGAGATAGCGGACTTGCTCATCACATGAACTGTGGAACAAATTTGTCATCATGATGTCGATGGCCATACTAGCTTTCCCAGTCATGGCATCCAATATACTGACCCAGTCTAGAGTACAACCTCAGTAAGTTCCGGGTGTTGAAAAATTGCTCTAGCGTGGTGTTTAGGTTGAGAGAAAAGATAGCCCCCATGTCGAACAGCCTTTGTCGTTGATAGCCGGGCCGATACCTGCCGGCGAACATGGGCGGCACACGCACAGACACGGTACGGTATCCCACAAATTCTTGCCGTAGCGCTATCGTCAGTGCCTCGCTCCACCTCTCTTCCGTCAGGCAACTACAACGTAGGCTAAGCGGGATGATACCGGGCATGCTTTACGTAATAAGTGAGGAGCACACTGTAGCCGCTGACGAATATCCAACGGCTTGGAGAGCTATGAAGCCACCATGGCCTTGTCATTGACATCCCAGTTATCTATCGGGTTTTGTACCTCCACTCAACGTATACTTGTCTTGCTACCATGTCCAACGTTGTCAAAGTAGCCGTAACGCAACATGAACCTGTATGGGTTGACCTTCAAGCGACAGTGGAGAAGACATGTCGATTGATCGAAGAAGCTGCGAGAAATGGTGCCCAACTCATTGCTTTTCCTGAAGTGTGTATAACAGGATACCGTGTCCGTGCACGCAATGCGCCGAGACGCTTTATGCACCCATATTTCACAACATCACAACTCAATGCCACAATGATGCTAGAGGAAGCCATTAAAGAGATAGATGCTATGATGCCATGCAAAAACATCTCTTGGATGCAATCATCCGTAAAGCATGGTGTTGTGCGCTCTACATTGACATGCAAGTACCAAGGAGAAATGCAATTGCATGAAGAGCAGGCAATTGCACAACAAAAGCTCACTCCACACCAGGAGCACAAGCTTGTCAAGCATATTGAGAAGCTTACAGCTTGCTATCTACCTCCTACAAGGGAAATGATAGCAAGTTTTGTGTTGTCAATAGCTACAGAGCCAGTCAGCAAGAGCTGGGTTACCTGCTTCATCAACAACCACTCAATCCATCTCATCTCTCAATACTCAACGGCTATGGACAGCAATTGTGTCATCCTGACATGGCTTGCAGCCAATAACAATCCACCCAGCCACTCCTCATGGAACCTCATGGAACCTCATGGAACATCATGGAATCCCATGGAACAACACAGAATCTTCTGGTTGCTGACAAATGATTACAAATGATTACAAATGCCGGTGTATCTAGAACATTCCAGGAGCCAGCAGTCTGTCTATAAAGGCAGCCTGCCCTCTGTAATGACACAGGTAAGAGAGGACTCCAATTGTAACGACGCAGGCCAGCAGGGAAGATATCCGGAATAAGTGTGAGTCTGCTACGAGGCATATGGGAGTGCTGGGACGTTGAGAACACTAGGATTGAATTCCCTACACCTATAGGTCTTGTACGAAAGGATACAGAAAAACTACTCTATCTAACAACTGTGTTGAACTGCTTAAGTATACCGTTAGGAGGACAATCGGACCCGGAGCGGTAGACTAGCTTATCGTGCATGCAGGTGCCAACAGGGGCTCAGATAGTACAGCAGCGCGATGCCTGCCGACATGTATGCAGATAAGGAACGACTCGGAACCGTACCGGTGGTCATTCGGTTGCGGTCGTTACACCGATATGGGTTCGAATCCGCTACAAGGTGTATGGGAGCACTGGGATAGATAGAACTAGGAGTAAACCTCTATTCCTATAGGTCTTGTACAAAAGGATACTCAAAAACTATCTACCATAACTATGTACACTGCCCTGCTTATATACCTAACAGTTCAATGTAGCTCGGGGGATACCAGTACATAGTAGGGTAGGGATCGGATAGGAGTCGAATAGCAATTGTGTGAGTAGTATGAGGAAGAACGGTTGGTACGGTTCTTACACCCTCCTGCTCAAATAACTCATGCTTGCAATTCAAAACTCAATCCACTCCTTTGTAACGACCGCAACCAAATGACCACCGGTACGGTTCCGAGTCGTTCCTTATCTGCATACATGTCGGCAGGCATCGCGCTGCTGTACTATCTGAGCCCCTGTTGGCACCTGCATGCATGATAAGCTAGTCTACCGCTCCGGGTCCGATTGTCCTCCTAACGGTATACTTAAGCAGTTCAACACAGTTGTTAGATAGAGTAGTTTTTCTGTATCCTTTCGTACAAGACCTATAGGTGTAGGGAATTCAATCCTAGTGTTCTCAACGTCCCAGCACTCCCATATGCCTCGTAGCAGACTCACACTTATTCCGGATATCTTCCCTGCTGGCCTGCATCGTTACATCCTTCAATTCACCTCAGCAACTCCTTCCTCAATTCACTCCTCACTGATCCTTTGTGGTATCCCCACACTTGATCCCTTCGTTATCACTTATCCTTTTTACCACTTGTGGTATCCCCACACTTGGTCTTTTTCACACCTTTATCTCCAACAAGCCTGAACCATCCTGTTACGATCCTACGTCCCACGATAGGACGACAAGCAATAAGTAACCGCCAACCAAACACAGAGGCCTGGGGGAAGGTGCAGCAAGGCAAGGCCGCCCGGCCGGCGCCTAGGGGATTGCTCTCAGCCGAGCTGACACATGTGACAGAGCTCGTCAACAAGCAAGGTCACGTGAGTGCTTGTCAACGAGCATGACGTGATGCTCGTCAACGAGCATGGTACGATGCTCGTTGACGAACCGCAATCCATCCGGATTGGCCAGGACCGACTTTGCTCGTCAACAAGCAGATCTGGTGGACTGTATATATATGTGTAGGAACACAACCCTTATGGTTCGTGTTCAACCTCGTCAATTAAGTTTGTCATTGGATCTCAACCAACCTTCGAGCTAGACAGATTGCCTGTACTACTCATCGTTATCCCAAGCCGTCGTTAGGTGTCTCACCCAGGCGACTTACCCCTACTGTTCCAGAGCCAGAGTTCATCCTTGAGAACCAATCGAATAGTGCTTACGAGCTTTGCTTAAAGTATGACTTCAACACATCCTTTCACCAATCCTTCCATCTCAGAGAGCAGTTGGTATCCCCAGCTGGCCCCCTCTCACACTTAAGTAAAGCTCATAGGCACTAGTTGGGTTGGTTCTCAGGGATAAGTGTAGCGTGAAGGAACAAGGGGTGGATCACTTAAGCAAAGCTTGGAGTGATCAGGGGTAGACATCTAGTCAAAGACTGTGGCATCTGGGTGCAATGAGTAGTATAGAGTAGACTATCTGGCTTGAGAGCGGGTGAGATTCCAATAACAAAGTTGATTGATGAGGTTGAACACAATGCCATAAGGGCAGTGTTCTGTTGAAGTCGCACTTTAAGCAAAGCTCGTAAGTACTGTTCGATTGGTTCTCAAGGATGAACTCTGGTTCTGGAACAGTAGGGGTAAGTCGCCTGGGTGAAACACCTAACGACGGCTTGGGGTAACGATGAGTAGTATAGGCAATCTGTCTAGCTCGAAGGTTGGTTGAGATCCAATGA